AGATGATGAACTGCAACCACAGCCCGAAAACAGCAGCCAAGTCTTCCACAGTATTCTCTCCATAAATCAATGACAAAATGTGGGTATTTATCCAGTTTGAAGCATTGTCCATGATATAAATGTATACACCTCTGTGCCATTGTTGACATCCAATGCATTTCCGCGGAAGTTTCTGGATCAATGCAGCGACGTTGTTGTTGTCGTGGGTAATAGGCAATCCAAGGCGACAACAAAAAAGCTTTACAAACTTAATGGATTAGTCCAGATCAGATCATATTTGGATATTGTTTGGTCGCGGAAAAAACGTGACATTTGCAATTCGCTTATACACAATGTTGTCTCACAAATATGAAATCAAACAAGATCTACCATCCCATAACATCATCTGGTCATCATCGCAATGCTAAAAGTAATGACATCAGACATTAATTTGTCAAAAAGCCAGATGGACCAGCAAAACTGTGCTGCTATGTCCTCTCTGGAGTTGACATATTGCAAGCTGTTTTAAGAGTGATGAACCAAATGTAGGCTGTGTGCCATCTGAATAGTTCTGAAGATGCCGATTTTATTGTTGACTAATATTGCATAAAGGGCCATCTGGTTGTTGCTGTCTACAATTTTGACGTAATTTCTAAAATAGTGGTCCTTCTTGATTTTTGTTCTTTATCTCTTTCTCAACCATTTGGTGGATGACTTTTTGAGTCACTGTATCTGTATGTAACATGCTTGGATCTGAAATCTACCTCATTGAGACATCTCTATCACTCGGTTTTTAGCACTTATACCATCAAGCTGTATCTCGACCTTTTTGTAGAGGCCTAAAATTAAAAAACTAGGTGTTAAAAAGCTTAATAAACCAAAAAATAATAAGTATGTGCTTTGCTTTGCTCAAGGACATTAAAGGGTTGTACAGTTTGTTTGATATTTAGACAATATGGTCCTCTGAGTTGAAGGTTGGTTCGAATCCTGCTCTCTCATTGGTTGAGCGGTCAAACTGACTAACCTGCTGGTGTGAAACCAGCTCCCATTGGTGAATGCTGTCGTTGTGTCATTGCGCAAAACACTTCATTCTTTTGGTGTCTTTGTATCTGGTGTGAATGGGTGAAGGGTTTATTGAGCGCTTTGAAGCCAAAAAGTGGCACATATACATTTCCATTTATTTGTTGTGGATATGAACTCTGGGCATCTCTGCTTAGATGACTGCCCACAACCTGGAAACAGATAAATTGAAAGAAAATTGATGGATGGATGGATGTATATTTCAGTATAGGGAGTCAGATTCTTCTATCCAACCCCATTCGGTGACTATATTACTGTACTTTTATCCTCAGCGAGACTCCCAGTCCAAAAAAACAATAACAATTCTCAAGTAAAAAGAAGACGAATCCTCCAGAAAAACCAATTACTGAACAAAGGCAACTGAAGGAGAGCAAACACATGAGATGAAATAGGATCCAGCATTGTCACTTTCGCATCAAAAAGTTATAGGCCTATCAGTATCAATCAGTCTGGAGTAAGACAGTCAGAGGGGTTTGGGATGCAGAAGAGAGAGGTAACTTATTCATTGATTCGTTCTAGCAACAGGCAGTGGTCATTACGCTTGTCGTGACCACCTTTAAGTCTCAAAGGTGCATACGCGCTCTGACTGCAGAAAACTCATTACGCGTGGCACCAGTGTTGACACACACACACACGCACGCACGCGCACGCACACACACACGCACGCACGCACACACATACACACACAGAGTCAAGTGGTTTACGAATCCTCCATCTGCTCGTGCCACACCATTACAGACATGACTGGAGTCGTGCGTAAAACCAAGGACTGACTCATGAAAGCTACAGGGGCCAAATTTAAAATGAAATGGTGACGGAAATAGTTGGCCCTAAACAGGCACCAATAGACATTATCATTCTTGTCAAACTTTACCTGCAGATATAGGATTGTTTGCACTACTTTGTTTACGCAGGAGAAGAGCATATGGCCGGGCGAGGGCGCAGGGTTTAGTGAGGATTATCTGAAACCTAATGAGCACGAACTATCCTGTTGGTGCACGGATCAGGTGACTTGTGGAGCAAATTAAAAAGCTGTCTATTTGGCCTCCCCCCCAGATACATGCCAAAAGGCAGGGCAGAGTGTGGAGAGTGTGTTACCAACGTTAGTATTTGTAACAGTGTGTGATTTATTAGACCATCCATCCATCCATCCATTTTCTACCCTTTAATCCATTTCTGGGTCAGGGGGGTGGCAGTCAGAGATGCCACCCAAGTCTCACAGCACCAGCCCCTCACTGACCCTCTGCAGGTGGTGAGTCCACAGGAGGACGGCTGCTCTCTGAATGTGAGCATAGCCTTGATCTTTCAGTGGGGGCTTTGGGCAAAGTGGGGTTAAGTGTCTTGCCCAAGGACACAACGACAGCAGTCATCAGTGGGAGTCGGTGGAGAAGGTGCAGAGGTGGGAATTGAACCCACGACCTTCTGGGCTTAAGGCCAATGCTCTACCAACTGAGCTACTGTCGCCCCTAGATTGATTTATTAGACGTGTGTTTTAAAGGGAAGGAAGCGTGTATCCTTGTCACGATCGTCTCCTCCAGGCGGATGGATTCAAAAATAGCTTTATCATACAGATTGTTTCGTCATTATCACAGTGATTGGTCTAATTATGTTAATTACGGGGTTTACTTGAACTGCTTGGTGAATAGAAAGTCATGGAACAAGCTGAATATCCATGACTCTATTTTTTATAAAGAATAATGCTGCCATCTACTGGTTATTTATAACATTACATCATCACTGACTGCATAGTTCCCACATGACGTCACTACATACGGGGATTTGCCGACCCGGCACCATTTGTGTTGGCATGCTGTGGGCAAAACAATAGAAAAAGAAGCTGAAACGTGTTAATGTCGTGATAAAGTTGAAAATGGTCATCTCCTGCTGGGTCAATGGATGTTCAAATCGTGCCGGAGGTTCCGTTAAACTTGGATTTTACAGTATACCCATCATTAGACTTCATGAATGTGAGAAGACTAAGCTTTTGTTAGAACAACCACGGAGGTTATGGCTTGCGAAGATAAACAGGCAAGAAACTCCCTCAAAACACGCAAGAATATGCTCGGAGCACTTTGTGTCAGGTGCGTATCGTATCTCATAATGTGTTGACAGACGTAATTTACTCAGTACTAACTTGTGTATGCTGATATCTGGTAACTTGAGAGTTTCATTATTTAGATTACTTTATTATGAGGAGGATCGGTGTCGCGGCTCTCGAGGGCAACGTAAATGTATTAAATAGATAATAATAGTTTATGGTGGGCTAAAACAATGTTCACAAACAGCATTGCTTCTGTAAAAAGATCTGTGTCATAAAATAAACTGCTCTTTACGCCTGGAAAAATCAGTTGCCCACCATTCACCAAAACATACGGTCAAAAACGCGGAAATAAACAATAACAGCAATCCAGAGTGTCCGTGTGGCATTAGCATTAATTAAATTAATTGTTAATATAATTAAAATAATTAAATGGAGCTCCAACTGGTATTAAATCTAAAGTTTTTGAGAAATGTTTGCATTGCTTGTTAATTTTTGCTGCATAATTTGATCAAATATGTAAAACATGTCCGTAGCACGTTAAACTGTGGTGCCATTGTATTAATATACAATTATTTGCTCAAAAGTTGCCCTTTTTTTCCAATTTGCGTTTGAATATCTACATTTATTCTCATTCTTCTGTTTAATGGAATGCACAAACACAGCAGCGTGCCATCAAAGATGGCGTCTCCGAGGAGGTCATGTGACATTCATTGGTCTGTGGGAACTATGTATATGGGACTGTTTTCAAGAATTTATAATAATAACTACTGGTTTTAGAGCGTGAGTTGAGAAGTTAAAACTGCTTCATACAATTCAAATTAAAATTATTTTTTTATTTTGGCAGTTATTTGGTAATGTCCATTAACAATGATTAAAAAAAGAACTGCATTTAAATGCATTTTATATTTTTGAAAATGTGTCAAAAAGTCGCATTCCTCCTACAATATAAAACATATTTTGTTATTGCCAATAAATGTGAAAGCATTTGCTCAAGAAGGGGGGAAATCTGAACTGTAGACACTAAATAGATTTTGCAATACAAAAAACTACTTATTAACGAGCAAATTAAAAGCATTTCAAATATATTTCCAATGGCACTTATCTGTTTTTGCATATAAAATAAACAATATTATTCAATATGAGTATACATTTCTTTTGAATCCAAATTGCCTGGTGAAATTATTTTACGGATTATGGGTGAAATTAGTGAAATAAAACAAAATAGTATTTTAATTATCAATATTGCGATGCAAGTTAATTCTCACTATGCATTCTCAGTATATGACTTTAGTTACTTCCCTACACTCATATCTAAACTTTACACATTGACCATGTCACATACAAAGCACAAAACCAGATGAATAAATTAAATTAGGTTTTATTCATATTCAGAGCATTTTAGAAAATATACTCCTTTCCAATCCTGTAAAATCTAAAACTATACTTTATCCACGTAGCGACTTCAATATTCTTGAAGAGATTAATTCTACACATTTTCTGTCATCTGCAAACATACACCAACAGCATACATTACAAACACACACATTTTAAAGATCTTTTATGGATTAAAAACATGATTGTTACCATCGAGGTTAGTGCAGGTTTAGTATTTACATTTCACATCGAAACTCACACAGTCACAGATTATCCGTAAAAGACAGTAGTGGAGTTGACAGTAGCATTAAAACAGTGATGTGCAATTTATCATATAGACACAGGCTCCAGCTTACTACATGCCTGAGAAATCCACATAAGAAATAACTAAAACATAATGTTAAGGTCACATGCATTTTAAAACAAGTCAATAGATGTAGAAAAAAAGAGTCCCCAAAGTCTAAAAGCTGGTCTCCCTCCAGTCCTCTCTGTTCAACTCAAACTTTCCTCCAGTGGACTCACACCGTCATAAAGCGTCACTGTGTTGGGGACTTTCATAACCTGCACAAACAAAACATGAACAGAAGGTGAGGCAGGATCCATTGTGTATCTGTGCACACAATATTGACACATACAAAGTGTTTTAAAGATGATGAAACTTGCTATGTAATTCCGTTTAAATACCACGAGAGAGATTTGTTAGAGAAGAAGACCAACAGTGAAGGGCCTCAGTCGTCTTTCAAGGATTTGAATCCATTGTGTCCAATCAGGAAGCTTTGGGGCGGGCCTAACATTAGAAAAATGTCTCTCCATCGTCAAATTTAGAAAAGTAACTGACATACAGGGCTTGAAATAAAAAAAAAGCCATTATAAAGCACTTCCTTGGTACTTTTGCTGGCTACCACTCACTTAACTTTAGATTATCTGGAAATCCACAAGACAGTTTTGCTTGGATGTTAGTTTATGCATATGTAAAGAGAGCAAAGTTTGGGACTGTTTTAGAATCCGGTCTTGAGCACTGAAGACTCATAAGTTTATCAAGTTTCTGAAAGTCATTTTTGCGTGTCTAAATCCAGTCTCATCCCGTGTAGCACTCGCTCTTCTTGGGCTGGGTGGAGCAGGGGATCTACACAGACACGGTAAGAACATGCAAACTCCACAAAGAAAAGCCCTGCACTGCTCGGGCGTCAACCCCAGAACCTTCTTTCTCTGAGGCAAGCAATGTAGGAGCAATGTGATGGCACCAAGTCAACACAAAATATGGCATCGTCTTAATCAGAGAAAGTGCTAAAACATTTCAAAATTACGATAAGACCCATAAATGGCTGCATAGTGCGTTTTTTGTATGACATATGGCATTGCAGCTGTTTTGATATCTATGCAAATTTCATCTTCGCAGGAAAAATAAAAACATAAATGATGACGTATGCTTTAAATATAGCTGCCAATTATCTCAGATTTTCGTAAGATGGTGTGGAAAAGAAATCAGTTCAATTAAAGCAGGACTTGGAGAGACTTTAACGCAGGACTGATAAGGCTCTTGTCTGGTTGATTACTCAGACCCAGCTGCCAGCCACAGGGAGAAAACAGCCATGTATAAAATGATGGGCCCTGGAAGAGACTTTTTTTTTTCATTTTAGTAATCATGAATGGAAGTGTGTGACAAACGTGAACTAAGAGTGCAAAAAAAGTTAGCCTCACTGAACCATGTAATTGCATTTTTATGAATTAAATGTCGATGTGTGACAGCAGAGGCATTTAGACGCGTTAATATTTGGTTAAAGACTTAAGAAAACATTGAAAAATCTCTAACACAAATATCAAGCCAAGGATTATGACCATGTAATGTATATAATCCTGCTGAAGGATGGGGAAAATGTATAACTAAATTTAAATAATGTATTCTAATGTACACTGAACTGGACTAGACATGCAAGGGGTATAACGCAAGCATCTTTTCCATAGCATTTTGAGCAAAAATTAATATAATGTACTGGACTAAACCAAGTATTTATATTGTTAAATCTGGGGTACCATGGTTTTCAAACAGGGAAATTATAAGGAACAAAGGTATTTAAAGGTTTGCAAAGGTTTTCCAATGTGGGTTTTTTACTGCAAATGGCAAATAAACTGAATCTGAATCTGAAATTCAAATCCATCAAACGTCGCTCATAAAATCCGCAGCTTTCTCACACATGGATTAGCCCTAAATAGATTACCCCTGCAGCAGCCACTCACAGGTCATTAGCCACCACTCACCAAATAGCTTACCATGCTGCTTTCGAACTTTAATAAAAATGAAAAGATTTTTTGCTCAAAGCTGGGGAAACTAACTATTTTCCTTCATAAATAGCACAGTTTGTCCCAACAGAAAAAATTTAAAAGTAACAACAACACGCTGTCTCTGCCTTGTTAGAAAACATGTTATTTATAAGAAAGAGCCCCGTGAGCCACTACATGAGGGTTTGGGCTGATTGACTGAGTGAGGGTGGTCCTTTATTTTTCCTCTCCAAAAAACACACAAATATCAAGAGTCGAGACCAAGCTGTTTGAGAGCCAGGAACCAGTGCCTTTGTTTTATTATGTAGTTAAATAATTTTATGGTTTTGAAAGTGAGGTATCTCTGCTTCAGGAGACAGTGAGGAATAGGCAGGACATTTTGCAGCTGTGCAGAATGCAATAGAATAAATCTTATATTTGGGTTGTGAATGTTTTGTTTTTGTCTGTTATACCATATATTACTTGCACAAGAATATACAGCTTTTTATACTCGCTCCTTATTATGCTAACGTCAGGGGTGTTCTTAATTCTTACCTCTTCATCAGTAAAGTTGGAGTTTTTAAGACTTCTTTGTCCTTATTATGCTAAAGATAGAGATTTTATACTGCTTCTTTTTATGCTTGAGTAAGATCCATCCATCCATCCATCCATTTTCTACCCTTTAATCCATTTCTGGGTCAGGGGGGTGGCAGTCAGAGATGCCACCCAAGTCTCATAGCACCAGCCCCTCACTGACCCTCTGCAGGTGGTGAGTCCACAGGAGGACGGCTGCTCTCTGAGTGTGAGCAGAGCCTTGATCTTTCAGTGGGGGCTTTGGGCAAGCTTTGCTTGAGTAAGATATTTTATTTTATTTAATTTATTATTAATATGGGTGGCTGAGTGGATAGCACTCTCGCCTCTAAGCAAGAAGGTCCTGGGTTCGAATCCCGGTCGGAACAGGGTCTTTCTGAGTGGAGTTTGCATGTTCTCCCCGTGCATGCGTAGGTTTCCTCCGGGTCATCTGGTTTACCCTACCACTAAAAACAAGGTCACTAGGTTAAATCCTCCAGCTCTGGTAGTCCTGACCAAGCCGAGCATCAACATTTGGGTTCCCGGGCGCTGTTACTACGGCGACCACTGCTCCTGACGTAAGCTTTTGCGGCATCAGGATGGGTCAAATGCAGAGGATTGAATTGCCCTACAGGGATTAATAAAGTGCACCCTTTAATTTATCCTGTGCTGTGTGCTCCTCATTCCTACTGTATGTAACTTTCCCCACTATGGGACGACTACGTAAATATATCTCTTAATCTTAACAATAGACTTAAACTAGAAATGAAAAATAAGGTACCCCAGCTTTAACCACCAAGTCCAACACACACACACACACACACAAAAACATGTGTAAAACAAATAATGGTTGAATACCAGGTTTTGAGTCACAGATACTTGCAGGTAGGAGACACAGATACATACACTGGGGCCCTGGGGGGTGGTCCAGAGATCTGTTTCTGTACTGGGGGAAGCGGGGGTTTTTCACAAGGTATCTGCGATCTGAGGACCTCTGCAGATAGGGGCTGTCGTGCTCTATGCCTGCAGGGAAATGGGATGAGAAACAGGCAAGTGGAAGTGGAAGGTGCAGTCGGTTTGAACAGGGACAGAGGAGAAAGCAGGACATTTGCAGCCGCGCATGGAGCAAGAGAAGGTTAATATATGAGGGATGTCAGATTATTAAGTGTTTTCAAGTCAAGCTATAATCAAACATAAACGTGGAGTACTTTGTATCTGACTGATTTTGCTATTTTTATCAAACCTTGCTGTGACATAATCAAAGTGAACTATTAGGCCAATATGGATTTGAAAGAAAGATTTTACAGTTTACCTCAGACAGATCATGTAACACTTAAAATTCTGACATACCTGATATAAAACAGACATACAAGGTTATACAGACATGTTTCCATCATCATGTAACAAAAACATGGCAAAGGTGTTCATTTAATAACACACAGGTACAACAGTGAAAAACTGTATATGTTGTGTTAGTATTTTAAGTACATTGACGGAGCTGAAGTGTGGGGATGTAAGAGTAGAATTTGGTGTACAAGCAAAATTATCTTGTCTTAAAAAGATCTTCCTTGGAATGAGAAAATTAAGCAGCAGTTTTTGAAATAAGACAAAATGGGTTTGTCCCATTTGCAAATTTGGTTTTAAGACAGTCAGAATGCACCTAAAAAAAAAAACACTCATTCAAGTAAGGGATAATGTATATTGCGCAAGTCTTTATCGGAAAAGAAGAACCGACAGGGCGAATCTTCCACTTATTATAAGGCTTTGTGCCAACAGAACCCACAAAATAAACTTCAGTCCACTCTTAGGAATGCCGAAAGGTTTATTTAATGACAGTAAACAAAATAGTTACCAAAAACATTCCAGTGGCTAAATGCGAGTAACAGTTTACTGTTCCTAAAATGTCCTGGAATCTACAGTACTTCTGGGTTTTTCGCGATCGCTTTTTCTCGCATTAAAATAGTATTTTTGTCATGAAAACATTAACAGATACTTCTGAAAACCTCCGTGCATGTGTATTAAGGCTCTACATGTATATGATTGGTTTATTGAGCGTGGCTAGCTCCAGAGTGGCCGGAACTTCTTGCGGAGCAATCCACACATCTGAATTACAAGGACAGAGTGCGTTGCCATGGGCAGCGGTCATTATTGTTTTGAGAGGTCTATTATCAAGAAATAATGACCGGTAGAACGTTTTGAAATTACATTCAAATCTGCTGTGAGGATCCGTGTAATAAACAATTATAACCTGCTAGTTTATAATTTTTTGCAGTGTAGTAGAATTTAATTTCAGTTGTGAGGGCGGGTGCTTTTACAATTCTACGGGAAAGTAATTTTTGAAAGAAGTGTAAAAATAGAAAATTTCCAAATAATTTCAAACATTGTTATTTGACATATGACGGATCTTTTGTCCTGTCATCTGCCAAAACCATGCATATGTGTTTTCAAGATTGTAACAACTTCTATAATTCTGACTTTTGACTGTTGCCATAGTGATCAGGAAAGATTTCTCAGCTGCCCTCCTACACTCCTTTAAACTATAGGGGGTTGGGAATGTTGTGATGTCACATGGACGCAGCCTATTTGTAGCAGTAGTAATAGTGTTGATGTTATTAGAAATACTAAAAATAAATTTCCCGACATAAATGAGACCAAGCCAGCATGCATACTGCAGACTATATGCATGTTAGTATTGACATCAAAACTGTGACACATGCAATACCTATGTCAAATGAGTTGGACTTCCTGGTGTGATGGAATGGGACTGGCTTTCCGCTATGGACCTCTCCTTCTTCTGATCAGTACAGAATTACCAGCACAATTAGGATTTGCGTTTCAGAATCTGTAGAGTGAAATTGATTCCTACTTTTAAATGTCACACCTTGAATGACTCCGGGGCTCGCTCTGTCCGGTGCAGGGGGACTTCTGCTTTCGGCTCGCTCCTCTTGCAACTGGGACAGATTTCTTTGGTCAGGGATTGTTTCTTCGCAAGGACTCGCTGGGGAACTTTTGGATGAGGACACTTCCGAGGAGGATTTGTCTCGTGATTGATCGCTGGTCTGTAGAGTATATCCAAAATGCAGTTAGACCTTGTGCACTGGCCCTGAGGCTGCAGCTTGTAAACTCACTTGGGTTAGAGTAATGGGATGTTGCCCTTCTGGTCCACAGCCTCTCTGCTTTCTATCACTTTGCTCTTCTTCTAATTCAAGTCGACCTGCCTCTTCTATGAAAATGTAGTGATACAACATGCATACAAAAACATTATTTGAATATAGAATGTAAAAAAGAGGAACTCTTCTGCTAAACTCTTGCCTCGAGCACCATGTTATCCACCATGCATCCCCTGAGCCTCTCAAAAGTCAATAGCCTTGTTAAAAGTTTGCTTGTTAAAAATCTGGACTGAAAGGTGGGCTATTTGAATAGAAAAAAAAGAGGCAAACATTACGTTTCTCTTAGTTTGAAACTCTTAACACCTTGTTGAATTCTACTGTTTTAATTTTATTGATACCCTCAATGCCGTCGATACAGTATGTGATGGTGCATTTTACAGATTATTCTATGATCCAAAATGTGTTATATTTAATATATTATGTTATCCAAGGGTTCTAAAAAACGTTTCAAGGAGCAACCCCAAAATTATGGATGAAATTCACTCCTGATTAAAAAATACAGCGGTTTTATTTTTGAGGTGTTGACCCATTCTAGATATTTTTTATTTGATTGAGTCAGTTATTGTCATATTTTGTTTGTCCAAACAGAATGAGTCTTGTTTAAGTAACATTTTGTGAACAAATCATCAACTGTGTTCATCTAATTTGATAATTTTGTCATTTACATAATGAAAGCTGCATGAAGACTGGTACATGCTTGTGAAAACTAGTGCTAGAACCAAACTGTTTCAAATGTAGGGACTCCAGCTTTAAATATGTATGTTTTGTTTCAACTATTGATTGAAATACAATAAATTATCTCCTTTTTTAATCTTGCGTTCTTCTCCCCACTCAGAGATCTAAGTGATTAAAAGCTTGTCAAAAAAAAAGAAACAGCTTAATATTGCATTACCTAAACTCTCCTGCAGGTGTCTCTGTCTCATCACAGACAGACTGTGTTTGTTGCTCTGAGCAGGAGGCTCTGTTCTCGGGACACTTGAGACACTGCTCTTCCCGTCCTCGTCCAGCTCTGAGTAGACATCAGTGAGAGGGACGATCCTCTCTTGTCGTCCCGGCTCCACGTGTCTGTCCGGCTGCAGAGACAATCCTGCGTGGCCATTGGTCCTGCCGTCCACAGAGGGATCAGACACAGTGGGGGACCGGCCCACATCGGGGTCTGAAGGTTTGGTGTCACAGGTGCTGCTGCCGTCCGAGTCCTCGATTTCAGCTCCGATGCAGCTGTACACCATGCTGACCAAGTCAGTGGGCTAGACAAGGACAAAAGAGGAAGAATTAATTAGGCTTTGCATATAGAAGTGCAATTTTATTTTTGGATTAGGTTTGGTAGCCTCCAAAAATAACTAAAATAAAAAAACATGGAAAACATGAGAGGGATACTGAGCACAGCCAGCAATGATTGAGCGTGTTATGTCATGCTGAATGAACAACTGCGAGCAGCTTGTGTGATTCCATTGAAGCACTGACTTTTGAAACTTTAAACCTTATGAATCAATATTGAACATAATAGAAGGGAGATGTTTTATCTAATTCCTCAGTTGTGTCTATTTGAGACTAAATGTATTACATTCTGGATTGTCAAACATTGCAGTCAACTATTGTACCTATAGAGAGCAGACCCATCATATCAATTTACTGGGGCCGGATATCCAACCAAAGGCACAATCATTTCCAATTTAACAGAGTAGTACAAACAAACTAGCCATGTCTGACTTCTGCAGGCCTGATTCTTTCCACAATAACATTGTCTGCCAATTGACAAATGGAGATCTTCTTTCTTCTGTTACCGTACTGTTGGGTATAATGGATATTGGATGATACCCTCGTGGGTACATCTGATCGCCATTATTTGTTTGAAAATTGTGTCACACTTTATATATCGCAGCTTATTGTAACTCTGTATTGCATCTTACACGAGTAATTTGCACACTCTCCATTTGCTGCTAAATCTTAAATGACAGGGTATTGTGACTTGGGACTTTTACTATGTTGGTAACTTGTTATTGAACTGTATTTTAATATGCAGGGGTGCACATAAGTGGTACGCAGGTACGCATGCGTGACAAATATCAGAAATGCGTACTATCACTTGAGTTAGAAAGTGCTTTTGCGTACTTCACACAGACCAGTCCTTCTCAAATAGTGGGGCGTGGTGCAATAACATCCTCCGTTCTGACCCCGGGAGAAACTGTGGCCGCTCTGACAGCTCCGCGAACGCGCGTGCTACCGAGCGCGGACCATAGTCCATGCCTCTCCCCGGTCTCTCCCCCATGCCACTCCCCCGTCTCTTCCCCGTCTCTTCGCCGTCTCTCTCCCCCGTCTCTTCCCCGTCTCTCCCACATCTCCACCAAGTCTCCACATGAGGTGCAGCCAAAACTCAATGAATTAAAGCTCAGGTACCTAAATTTTCGCTTGCAATGAAAATGCAAATGTTATTTGTGCCCAGATGTAATATGTTATGACCAAATCAAACAGAACAAACCAAAACAGTCTTGTTTATTTTATTTTACTTACTTAAGAAAGAGCCCTGTGAGTCATTATTTGACTTTTTGGGCACAGAGTGGATTTTTTTCAATAATGTTTGACTCATTGTATTGAGAAAGACGTGTTAGTCCCACATTATTATTGGTTGTTTTATTACCTTTCCTGTGTGGAAGTTGTATATTATTTTATAATTCTACTGAAGGATTATAATTATACACTGCATTTTTATTGACAAGTGTCAGCGCTCAGATTCTTATGAAATTATGTTTCTATCTGCTAGAGGCCGAGATATCAATCATTCTCTTGACGTTGAATTTCAGCATTAAAAAGCAAGTAAAAACTCTTGATAAAGAACCGCGCAAAAAATATTACCAAACACCTTGTCCTGGTACTCATCTGAGTACCTCACTGAAAAAGTTATGTGCACCCCTGTTAATATGTATGCTGGTAACTTGCACTTTTATTGAACAGTATTTTAATTTATATGTTGCTAACTTTTAACTTGCTTGAACTTTTATTGAACTGTATTTTAATATGTACATTTTAGTAACTTGTACTTTTATTGAACTGTTTTATAATATGTAAGTTATCAACCTGCTCTTTTTATTTGAGCTTTATGTTAATATGCAAGTTATATGATAGTATTGTCAAGGACTACGGATGGAACAAAGCCTGGTGCTAAATCTGGTGCAGCCATCTTTGTAATGTAACTGCACATTTCCCTTAGTGAATTAAACTTGAAACTTTAATTTTCTTAATACCTGTCTTTGCATGAGGCATGGTGGGCTGGCTGTCCTTATCCCATGTGTGGGTATTCCCTGTGTGGACCGGGGCGACGACATGGTGCCATTTTCTCCTGGAAATGTCCCCTCAGCTCTTCCCATGTCCTTAGGATGCTGGATCATGGAGTAGACATTCTCACAGACCCCGCTGATGACACAGACACATCACAGTCAAGGAATCAAGCACAAAATAGACAAAGTATGACATGAAATTTCTGAAGAATACATCAACAATGAGCCTGAACTGATGATTCGTTTATATTTTTCTGGAGTCACAGCTTTATCACTGAAACCGGTGCAGCGCATTGCATCATTTAACCTTGCCATATTTTTTAAGTTGAAAACGCCTCTGCGGTTGAGTTTATGTGCAACTCCCAGGAAAGTAAAAAATAAGGAGCTTTTCTACTTAGTAATTCTTTCTTCTCTGTTTAGTGGTTATGCAACAACTGTCTTATTGTATGCTATGTCATTAAAACTAAGGCTCTACTATAGCTTGAAGCCCAACACTTTTCTCCTACTGAAATATTTATTATGTTTTAATGAGACATTAATTCCCAATCTTGCATTCGTCTCGCACTGTTTTATTCTGGGTCCACTTGATGCACTGACAACTTCTCCTCCCTCCATTGGCTCTAGCTGCCACGCTGCACGCTTACTCTGAGTCCTGATTAGAGATGGTGGAGTTGCGATTCTTGCGAAAGCCTGAAAATATGGACAAGACGCTGCGGCGCTTTTTCCTCCTCAGTGACTGCGTGTGATGAAGGTCTGACAGCTGACTACAGGAGAGAGCAGAAAGATGAGGAGTTTTACTGAAGAAGGGAGACTAAAGAGAGAGAAATTATGGAAATGACATCTACTTTACATCCGGCAGTGGAAAGAAATACACAGAATTTATCAGAGAGGATATTTGGTTTGTTTGTTTATTATGGATCCCCAATAACACAGTCAAGGTTATGCTGTTCCACTTGGGGTCCCATAGAATGTAAAAAGCAACAACACATGAAGTCAGCATGAGATGGCTTTTCATTTCTAGATGGATTTGTTAAAAGAAGGAGAGTGGCATGGATCAGAATGAATGGTTCAGAGCCCTGAATACGAGTCAGCAGTGGTCTGCCCTATAAAAAAAGAAATAGTGCTGATCGTGCATATAACTGCATCTCCAGAGCGGTATAGTAGATTAAGATTAAGATAAAGAGAGATCCTTATTTGTCCAAAAGTGGGGAAATTTACAACACCTCTGACTTTAGCATAATAAAGAAGTATACAATCTCTACCTTGGCATAATAAGTAGCAAGTATAAAGTACTGTGTAAACGAGTACAGGTACAGTAATATATAGTATTTAGTAGGGCTGGGCGGTATAAACGGTATAAGCGGTATGCGGTATAAATTTGGCCCACGGTAGAGATTTTTGTTATACCGGCATATTGCGATAGGTCATTATGTCATCAAATTGCGCAGGCTCTGACGCCAGCAGAAAGGACCAAAACAAACCGGCATTCAGCAGCATTAGCCTAGCACATTAGCCTAGCAGCATTAGCCTAGCACATTAGCCTAGCAGCATTAGCCTAGCACATTAGCCTAGCAGCATTAGCCTAGCACATTAGCCTAGCAGCATTAGCCTAGCACATTAGCCTAGCACATTAGCCTAGCAGCATTAGCCTAGCACATTAGCCTAGCAGCATTAGCCTAGCACATTAGCCTAGCAGCATTAGCCTAGCACATTAGCCTAGCAGCATTAGCCTAGCACATTAGCCTAGCAGCATTAGCCTAGCACATTAGCCTAGCAGCATTAGCCTAGCACATTAGCCTAGCACATTAGCCTAGCACATTAGCCTAGCACATTAGCCTAGCAGCATTAGCCTAGCACATTAGCCTAGCACATTAGCCTAGCACATTAGCCTAGCACATTAGCCTAGCACATTAGCCTAGCAGACACCACTGGAAACAACAGCACGGCTTTCACACCGTGTTTCTGTCTCTGTATTGGTCACAGCGGCCCCAGCGGAGGTAAATACACACACAGCAATCACAGTTTACATGTCTACCTTTCGGCCAATGAGTGTCAAAGGGGCGTAGGCTCGAAGCGCCATCGTGAGCCGAAATAGATCCATGCTTGTGCCGTGTCCGCATCATCTCAGAAGTTTTGTAAAGTTAGCGTCCGATTCAGACTTCCGCGGTCAATAGATCACGAAAGCTACTTTGTTAAACAAAATTAATTGTGCCAAAATGAGCATTTACATCAATTGTTCAAATCAAATGCGCTGTTTTAATGCAGATAAATCCATTGAATCATCCAGTTCACAGCAAGCGCTTAGGGAGCGTCAACAAATGGCAAGACTAGCTTTGTAAACGAACAATAGCTTTTACTGAAGCCATGCATACGCACTAAACTCTGACACTATAAATAATGACCATGTCTAACTGCTACAGATATTATATATTTTAATATTATTTAAAATTGCTTTCACAGTTAATGGTCTTTACTGTAACATACATAAATAATGTATGTTACAGCATTTGTCTCTGACCTGATTTTCAAACTCTTCAAAAATATATATCAGATTCTAATGTATAGATAAGTAACAATCTTGACTATTTTATGCAAGAACCTGCTAAACCTATATTGAAATTCACACACCAAATTATACCGTGATGTATACCGTCTACCGTCTGTGACCCAAATCATACCGCGATATGAATTTTAGGCCATATCGCCCACCCCTAGTATTTAGTTTAGAATGTAAAGGCAGCAACACATGACATTAGCATGAGATTACATTTGATTTCTAGATGTATTTGTCAAAAGAAGTAGAGTGGCATGGATCAGAATGAAACGTTTAGAGAGCTGAATACAAGTCAGCAGTGGTCTGTCCTATAAAAAAAAAGAAAAAGTGCTGATCGTACATATAACTGCATAACAACAAGAGCGGTATAGTAGAAAACTGCAGGTTGGACGTACAGTAGCCTGGTTTCATTTCAGTGAGCAGACTCTGGCTTGATATGTGGCTCAGAGCTTAAGTGTATCACAAAGCAGGAATTAAGTTCTTAAAGTTGTACAAAACAAAATAAATGAACCAGGAGTTGTGGGAGGAGTGTCGTTGGGTGTTATTGATGGTTAAACCGAACATGAGCGACTTTCAAATGGGCTTCTATTGCACATGTTTACAGGTCAAATGCCTTTTGCCTTATGGGCCAACTGTTCATGAGGCATATGCTGCGTTCATATGACAGCAGAAGTTACCTGTCGGGTAGAACTCTCTTGCTGTAGAAATCTGGCAGTCCATCCTCCAGCATATTAACTCCCCCGTTCTCCGAGGAGTGCTTAAACACAAAAAGTGGCACTGATCAATCCACTTTGCCCACAAAAAGCTGAAAGGCGGACAAATGGTATTATTATTATTTCAAATGCCTGGCTGGCACCTCCATATCCACTGCCAACGCAAGTCTATTTGTAGAACAGCTCCACATCATGTTGCCCTAACTGGGTTTGTAGCAATTTAAAAGAGCTTTTTACAAAGTCACAAAATAAACAAGCAGCGAGTGAGAGGGCGCCCTGCAACCCCTCGGGACAGTTCTGCATGATTAGTATTGAAGTCACACGCTCACACATACACACACGCACACATGCACACACACGTTCACACACTCAGACACAGAGAGAGAGAGAGACACGCACACACATTGAAACACACAGAGACACACACACGCACACACACACACACGCATACATGCAACAGCTCTCCGCTTAAAAAAGGATATTTTTAGAATGTGCCATTGGCAAAGAAAACAAGATGAATAACACAAGTTCACTTTACAAAACAAAAAGAATTGAAGCCACTGAAGAGTAAACACAGGTTACTTTCTTACCTCATCTCGAGGAAGACAGACCTGCCCTGCTCTGAATTAAAAGTGAGGCTGACAATAATAACTGCTTTGTCCATAAACTTTAACTGCTGCACTGTAGTATTGTCAATAATCATAAAAAATAATATTATGAGAGAGACCATAATCTCAATATTAAACTCACCAGGTCAGAATGGATGTGTTCGGCTCGGTGGCGGCGTGGGGGGCGTGGCCTGACGTGGGTCACATGCCGTAAAGGTGATCCATTAGTGGGAAGAGTGGACAGACACTCCCAGGACGCAGAGTGAGACAGAGCAGCAGCGTTCGGAACGGCTGGAACCGAGGGAACGGGCGAGGAGCTGGGGTCATCACCTAAACCTGGTCAGTAACATGGTTTTCAGAATAAATAGATACGGACAATTCAAAATATTTATTGTTTTTAAATATGTCCTTTTATGTAACAGGACTCTGAAATATAAGGCTTCATTTCACAGACACAAATTACATTAAAACCAAGATCAAACAATACAGTCATTACCAGCAGCTCAGTCGGGCTAGACTTCTTTCTTCATAAGACTTAATGTGCTTTTTCATGTAATATACAGACTTATAATACGGCTTGGATCTTCTTCACAGCCAAAATGAATCAAAAACATTTCCCGCGCATCCTTGAACCAAAAAAAAAGGGGTTCTTACTCAGTCTGGTAGATACCGGTCGAATTCTTCTAGTCCTTGAACTGCGTTTCTTGATCGCCATAGTGTCCTAAGATCATAAAAGGAAAAGCAGTCGTATGAAAGACGTGTGAGATGAGATAATACTAATATATATGTTTTATGTGGCGCTTTTCAAAGGAGCACAAAGACGCTTCACAAAGATAGAAGACACTCACATTCATTCCTAAACAGTGTTGGGGAGTAACGGAATTCATACAGGTATAATGCCATTACGCATTCAGAATACTCTCTCTAAAGGCACTTATTCCCTTACGTATACTACTTTAAAGTATCTAGAATTCAGTTATTTTCAGAAAAATCACGGGAATGCATAATTCTCACATTACATTTTAAGGTAAAAAAAATAAAAAATAAAACTGGAAAAAAATTGGATATTCTTAAAATGAAAATATTTTGTTTCTGGTTGTTAAATGACAGCTGTTGAAGCACTTTGACTTGTTTTATGTGTGTAAAAATTTTTATGAAAATGATTGAATCATTTAAACATTTATTGAGGTTGTGGTGTTAAATATTGTTAAATTTGCCTTCATAAATGTTTTACATAAAGATTAATTTACAATAAAAAACGCAAAAATGATATTTAAAAGTATTCGGAATACAGGTACAACTTTTACAAAGTTACGGAATACTAAACCAAATACATTTTAGGGGCATTCAGAATTTAGGAACACTGTATTCCAAAGTATTCTACGCAACACTTTTCATAAAATCTAAGCAAAGATAAATAAATATAATAATCCGGTGAAACTAGCTATAGGTTCGGAGGAAGTGGTGAGTATGTAGCTGTTTTTGAAAGAGTTGGGGAGAGGTGTTCTAGTGGGTGGAAGCGGAGAAAATGCGTGGTCCCCTCAGGTTTGGTGAATGGATTTGGCAGTGGGAGAGAGGAGGCTGGAGATGACGATGAGTTAAGTTTGTCACATGTTTTCATTTGCTTTTAGACACCATCCAAAATGCCCAAGTTCAGTAACGGTGATGCTAACTTACTATTCCCAGGCCTCCTCCGAAGTCCTCGTCGGGGAAGTCCAAAGCCTCTACAGCCCGGGACTGTCTGACGGTGCGCCTGCCTGAGCCCGCATCGTCCCAGCGTTTGACTTGTGACACCTGCCGCAGCTAAAGCACCACACAAAACACGAGCGGTGACATGAGGACCAGCGGCGGCCATCAAAACACTCAGAGAGAAGTGCCCTTGTACCAAAAAGCAACAGTACAAAGCAGCAGCTGGCACCGCTCCATGTTTTCCGTGTCGATATGAATAAAACACCAGTCCAAAATCAAAGCAGTTTGAGACATGATGGAGGACAAACCGAGGCTGCGGAAAAACTCACAGGAGATTGAGGAATAAAAGTAAGCGGAGGTGAGGGGAATACAAAACAAGAGGTAGCGCACTAAAAACCTCCCCATATATTACACTCATACTGCTCATGCATCCACGGCTCTTGCTAGTGTCAGAAATACATATTATATTCTTACTGAAAACAAACAATTTCTCATTTCTAATAAATAATTAAATAATTAACGTTGGAGTAACTCGCTTTGAAAATTGAATTTGTAAAAAAAAATAAGTATCTAGCCTGTAGCTCTCACAACAGTTTATCACTACCGCTCCTCACTCAGCCAATCAACTCTCAGTATGCAAAAAAGAAAAGTTTTCTAAGATAAAGACAGCTTGTTGCGTTGTCATTTGTTCACAAAATGTTACTTGATCAAGAAATAATATCCAGATTTTGAACAGCTGAAAATTTGTGCAAAATCGTGTGGAAAAGCATGCAACAAAAACCAAACATATGGACTTTTCACAGTATGAGTCAGTTCGACGCTAAGGGCAACTGAAATGAGTAAATAGTGTTGATGCAGCCGAAAAAGAAATCTGAAAATGATATACTAATCTTTAAGGAGAGTTTAGGGAGATATGTTTAACTCATTGGCTGCCAGCCGTTTTTGATTTTCAAGACCCACATAAAATTTTGTGCTATGATTTATTATGTGAAATGTAGATTCTGAGAGACTGGACAATCGACTTTCATCAGCAAAAATAAATTTGTTTCTAGCTAGTTTTTTTCTCCTTTAATATCCGGTCGAATACAGGGAAAATTTGCAGAAATCACCATTCTCAGGCAAATACGTCAACGGCAATCAATGAGTTAATGTATTGTTATTGTACATCGGGGGTGTCCAAACTGAGAAGAGTTTAGACATGATTGTTGTACATTTCTTCCATCGGCTGTTCGAGAAACGTTTTAGCATTGAAACTTACATTTGTCTACTCCTACAAAGAAAGCATGCAGTAAAGAGATATTACCAGTACCAGGGTTTTATGACTGGTATAAAGTTCTTGAAGTATCTGGTCCACTATTGAGTTTGTCAGATAGGAGACCACGGACAACTTCACTTCCCTGGAAGAAAAACAGAAGCGAAACTTATTTTTCCTGATCCATTTGTCTTTATCAGAGTTTCTTGAACAGTATTTCTCACTCCAGGGCCTTGTTGATGTCCTCCGCTGCCCTCTCCATCAGGGCGTTGCGAATGGAGGAGCGGGGAATGGACACTTGTTCAGAGATGGAGGACAGGGGGGGGCTGAGTCTCTCCGCGGCCGCACACGACAACGGACACAACTCACGGCACAGAGAGACCATGGAGTCCACAACGACCTGAAAGAACAAAGACACTCTGGATAAGATTGAATTATTCATACAGTTATCATCTGCCTTCCTTTGTATGTGATATTTTATTAATGATAACACAGGCGCTATTCCTTTTAAAAGACAAAGGAGAAAGGTACACATGGATATTGAGACAAGTGGGTAATGATTCTTTGGGGAAGAGTCTAATCTGGGCACACATTTCTTCTGGATTCACCCAATAAATTGCCTGTCTTCTATTCATGTGCATGCACGCTTTTACCCTATAAAACATTATAACACATCTGATAAAGGGCTTTTAACACTGCAGTTATCAAACAGCAATGATTTTTCATAACTTTTTCATGTAAAAATATGGGTTATATGCAGTTAAGTCATATATATATATTTTTCTTTTAAAAAATCACTGTATAACAGACAAAAAGTGAAGCCTCTTATCTGTATAATCCAATACTTCAAGGCTGTATAAGAGATGGAAGACAACTTAAATCCATAGTGAAGTAAATAAAAGAAAATGATATAAGAAAAATTTAGGGAAACTTTTATGTTGAGCAAGGTCTCAAGTATGGTACTTTAGCACCTAAAGGGTAAGATAAGATTAGATAAACTTTATGGATCTCACAATGGAGAAATGTCCACATGATGATAAACAATAAAATGTTAGAATTATTTTACCGCAGTAAATTGATTAAAACTAGGAACTATCCAGGCACTCCTAAACAAAATGTGAGTAAATCTTAATTAAGAGGCCTTTATGAACAGGGCCAAAGCCCGCAGATGGTCTTAACACATGCATCTGTCACCTCCAATCTCTCTCCACAAACCTAGGGGTCATAATGGACTCAGACTTCATTTTTAACAGCCACATCACATCAGTAACATCGGCAGCGTTGTACCATCCAAAAACATTGCCAGGATAAAAAAAAATAGTGTCTAAAGCAGACTTGGAGATTATTATCCAAGTCTGTCAGGTCTCTGCACTGGCTTCCTGTGGCTCAGAGAATAGACTTTAAAACAGCTCTGCTTGTGTACAAGTCTCTCCATGGCCTCGCACCAAAATATATTAGTGACATGTTAGTCCCATATGAACCAGCCCGGACTCTGAGGAGCACAGGGACTGGACTCCTGCTGGTGCCCAATATGTGTATGAACTGTGCTATACACATAAACTTGCCTCGCCTTAATTAAGGTTTACAATGAAAAAAAAAATAAAAGTGAATAAATATGTTCTGAAAATACATTATATGCTGTGACTGAAAGAAAAAAAACAATGAAATGAATTTGCAGGTGTCAACAAACTATTTTATATACCAAATATGAACATGTGAATGCATCAAATAACACAATTACAGGGGCTTTATATGATGATGAAAACTATGAAATTATCTATTCCTTCTTCTTAAGTCGCTGCACATAGCCTGAGGTATATGATAATGAATATTAACAAGAGTAGGAGTGCTAAGTGTTACCTGCAGCTCTTTGTCAGCAGCCTTGGCCAGCTCTCCAGCCAGTGTGTCCAGTCTCTGTCTGACCGGGCCGTCCACAGACAGAACATGTGCCAGCTCACACAGGGAGGGGTACAGCTGATGGACCAGAGGAACACACCATCACCAACATGAAAGCAAGCTACACCCAGGCAGAAAACCCAACACCTCAAGGTGTTTTAGGCAAATGAACACCTAGAGTCATTACACATCAGATTTGTGGGGCACCATAGATTTCAATTCATAACATTCAGCAAAAACACATTTTGCTTGTGTCGGATGCTGGTTATGAGAGTTGCAGAATAATTAATGGTATGGTATGTTTTTAATTTTTCAGGGACAGTGTGCAATAAACATTAGCTAAGAGGAGAGATGTATTGTACCAGATTGTAGCAGCAGCGCTAATTTACACCTGTAGTCCTTGAGCAGGTTGTTGTAAAACAGTAAAAGTAGATGGATACATTACCACACATTATCAGACAAAAATAACAATTTAATTTACCATACAAGTTATAATAAAACCACCCAGCCCCATTCATCACTTTCTCTCACTACATACATCCATGACACAGACAAATGATTAGACTCATAAAACAATATCATCATCAATTATTATTTGACATTGACTTATTATGATCAACATGTGTTCGTTAATGACCTGTGTTTCTCCAAACCGAGTGATATCCATAATTAGTGGTTTTGAATACGTAGCGACCATCATTCCATTACTACAGTACTCACGGCTCTTGAGTTGCGCGCCTCTTTCAGGACCTGTCTGGCGGTCTGGACGTCCTCGGTCTCCTCGCAGCCTTTGAGAACACACACCTGCTGCTGCACCCGCTGGCACAATCGCTCCATCACCTGATAAACCCCAAAAAGACACAAACTATTACTGCACATTTTGAGCCATCACCTACACATGTGGTAAATACGTGATTTTGCTGTTGTATTCTGTAATATCTTTTGCTAAACCTCAATACATCTATAACCAAAATTACCTTTCATTCAATCAAAAAGTACAGAAATGTTAGTCTTTTTTTTAATGAAAGGACACAATATTAAAATTCCAATGTTCACTTTCAGGGCCCCCACACCTGACCACAAACTTGTTTTAAAACTCAATCTCGGTCAAACACGTCAGTACTATATCACAGACTATTTATCATTGGTGACACACAAATACTGCATATTTCTGTTGGATTATAAAACGTATACTCGAACATAGTAACAAATCTATTCCAAAATATGTGACTTAAAAAGAAAGGTATTGCACACAAAAAGGGTTGGCGTGCAAATGCGAAGAATTGTATGAAAAAGAACGCATTGCACACCCAAAAATAGTCCAACATAGTTTTTATTAAGAAGGAGGAAATTGGACGTCTGCATTTGGATGTGCAATATCTACAGTAACTTTGAAACCACATACACATATCATGAAATCAAATCCATGGAAGTTACATGGATTTTGCTAGGTCTAAAATAATGCACGTGTTTTTAGTTAAAAATAAAGTACTATTTGTCACTCGGCCAATCAGCTCTCAGTGTGTACAATATTTTCTAAAAAGATGAAAACGGTATGTTGTAGTGCATACTGATTTATTTGCAAAATGTTACTTAAACAAGATTAACAAAAATTAATGAAACAATTAAACATAACAATAATATTGGTTTTATAAAGCGCTTTTCAAGGGAACTCAAAGATGTTTACAAAGGAAGGTGTTCATTCATAAAACATAAGCAATGAAAATAAAAATAAAAATTAGGTACTCCTGCTATACATGGACCAAGGATCTATGAAAATAACTGGATAGGGTATTACTAGCTTGTAGCTGTCCCACCCACGGGCACAGGGGGCGCCCGTGGTACTGCAGACTAAATTCATGAGGGCTACCCAGAAAAAAGTCCCACAGAACTCAATGTAAACTAAACCAGCTCGACCTCAGCTGACAGAGAACCTACAGCTTTCAGAAATATCAGATTTTGTGGAGATTTTAGTGTCCCTTGTCATCCTGAACTTTTTTTCTTCTTAAATTCTTCGGTTTTCTTTAAATCCACACTTTACTGCGGCAAACTCTGCTCCTTTCCTTCCCGCTCTGACTCCGCTTTGATCAGCAGCCCTGATTGGTCAGAGTGCGGCCGAGCCTCTCTGTGCGCGTGTATGAAAGCCACACACGCGTATTTGCCGAAACGCATCATGGGAGATAATCCACTGCGCAGAACCAGGAGGACCAGACGATGCCCAAATATAGGCGAGTTCAGATAATCTCTCGGTCCCTGTGAAATCCCATGCGCTACTGAGCACAAGACATTCATTTGAATAGGGCGCCATCTTGGATTACCGGTGCTTGACATGGACCAAGGACAAATGCCCACAAAAAAAGTTTAAAATAATTGTAAAGCGCTTTTTGACTCTGGTCTGTGAAAGGCGCTATATACAGTGCCTTGAAAGTACCTTTCAACATTTCGCCTTATTTCAGTCTTCAAACATAAAGATATAAAAAAAATATTTTTTGTCATGAATCAACAACAAGTGGGACACAATCGTGAAGTGGAACAAAATTTATTGGATAATTTAAACTTTTTTAACAAATAAAAAACTGAAAAGTGGGGCGTGCAATATTATTCGGCCCCTTTACTTTCAGTGCAGCAAACTCAGTCCAGAAGTTCAGTGAGGATCTTTGAATGATCCAATGTTGTCCTAAATGACTGATGATGATAAATAGAATGCACTTGTGTGTAATCAAGTCTCCGTATAAATGCACCTGCTCTTTGATAGTCTCAGGGTTCTGTTTAAAGCGCAGAGAGAACCATGAAGACAAAGGAACACACCAGGTAGGTCCGGGATACTGCTGTGGAGAAGTTTAAAGCCGGATTTGGATACAAAAAGATTTCCCAAGCGTTAAACATATGAAGGAGCACTGTGCAAGTAATTATATTGAAATGGAAGGAGTATCAGACCACTGCAAATCGACCAAGACCCGGGGGCTGAATACTTTCGCAAGGCACTGTAGATAAAGATGGCTTACCTACTTAAACTAAAGTAAAGTTCAGCTGTCGGCTTACCTGCTCGGCTGTGCTGGTGACGAGGCCCTGGTGCAGTCTCAGGGCTTGTTTCTGGGAGAAGCGCTGAGTTTGGTTGTTCCTTAGCAGAGCGCGCTGGATCTGCCAAACCAACATCACAGAACAGAAAATCAACAGGAGAAGAGTGAGGATGGCAGATGCTTAAAGAACTGGGGGAAGAGACAAGAGGCGGGCCGCGTGCATCGTAATGAGAAAGAGGTTGACTTTGATTTTGGTGGTTCACTCGGTCGGCGGGAACTCTTCATCATCTTATGTAAATACAAGATGTTTTAAAGGCAAAGTTAAAGAGGTTTGGTTTATCTTCAGGGAACGGCTTTTCTCTCGTGTAACTATTTTTTTCATTGTAGGCAATTTGATTAAAGATCATTAGTCAAAGATGCTAACAAAATATGCTAACAGCATTTCTTATGGTGTAAAACTACAAAATTAACATTGAAATTCTGTTTTTGTTTTAAGTGAATAAACAGGAACATACAGTTAAATCCAGAAATCACGAAGGCATAATGTGATTCAGTGATACATTAATTAACCGTTAATATTAGTAACAGTAACGCCATGTTGAGAAAAAGTAAAACCCTGGAACCATTAGCCAGCTTTTTACTGTTTTTCTACAGGGAAATGTTTTACAGTGTAGGCGGCCATTGTGGAGATTGTAAAACAGACATGAAAATATTGATTTAAATTTCACAGAGCGGACCTTTAACTAATAAAGATTTCCACAGAATTCCTAACCTAATTCTAACCTTCTTAAAGAGGATATAACGTGTCTATATTGTGAAATGTTTCAATTGTATTAAGCTTACTGAACAGATGTTTACATGTGTCAGTAAACATTTACGGTGTTTTGACTCTGTGCAGCCAAGACAAACTTGTGCTAAATGAATAGTATTATATTGGGTAATATTTGTCAAACTTGAGTGGGTGGCTCAGTGGGGGAAGTAACTACAGGTGATAGAAAAAAACTGCTAAAATTGGTGAAATTTGCCGATCCCTATTTTTTACATCATTCAGAAAAGTCAAAGGTTAAAACCAGTAGGGAGACAGTGGTACAACAGGGATGTCTGTTTTTGAATCACAGCCATCAAACTTGAAGGTGTACTTCGTCCTATTTCTCAGGAGCAATAAACAAGGCTCAAGTGTCAAGGAGAAAAAATGACTCTGTATAGAGATCTCGATTTTAGCATTTGCTTTCCTCTGGGTGCTAAATGGTGAAAGATGAAAATAGTTTAACTTGCACTCAAAAATTTGTAAATATCTAATCTCCACATGCAGGATCTTCTTTTGACCTTGGATCAGATGGAAGAATGAAGTAGTGTGTGTGCGTATGTTTGTTTCTGCTAAAATATCTTTTGGTTTACAATTTTATGAAAACAAGTTACGCCACCTTTGATTTAAAGTAAATAATCAATCAAAAGAAAAACTGACGGCGTAACTGTGGGTTTATGTGATGACAAAGTGCCCAATCCGACAGAGGGAAAAAACAATATGCCAATGGTGCCAAGAAGAGAAGAACCACAATATCTTAAATTTGTTATTTACACTCAGAAGACTTTGTGCTTGCCTAATTGCCGGTTGTCATGATTGAACACTGGGACAGCTGGTAAATTAGAGTTTGACAAGTAATGTAAACAATCTGTTAAGTGCTGCTTGCAGGCCAACTAAAAGAACATTTAATTACAACTGTTAATTAAAAGTGACCACAACATTTTCTAAAAAATTATAATAGCTAAGTAGTCGAACAGACTGCAGCTGAGGCAATGCACTTTCACATTGAAGTAAGGATTTCAAACTTCAGTAGACTTATGAACATTCATATTCAATCATTTGTGCGCTGTTTTAATTCTATAGCCCAGGGAAAAACAGATGGTTTTGACAACGAAGCAGTGAGATACAATTAAATGCAACTGTAAAGCACAGAAAGAGAGTTTTAAGCATCACTTTAGAAGACAAATTGCTCAAATCAGTTAACAGGAAAGTCATAATAAAAATAATCTCTGTCAAGGTTTTCCCAGTAGTTATGATGTTAATATTTCATAGAGGTTTGATTCTTTGTTATCAAATCCATAATGAAACAAAATGAGTCTATTTTCTCCTATCCCTTGTGTCCTGTCTATTTAGACAACGGTTATACACAAAGACTAGGGCTGTTATACACGATTATATTGATTATTCATTCTTCAATTCGCTAATTAATTGATTAGATGTTTAGAATATGGGGTCCATTTGACATGTTAGAGAACCCTTGTTATACATTGGGTTGTGTGATCAAAAACACTTTGACGTTTTCATTTCATTTTGTAGTCATACAGTTTTTCTGAGTCATACTGTATAAACCTCTTTTAAGCATGTTTAAGTCTATAAGGTTAAACAAAAAACTTTACTAGATTTCTAAACAACTAGTTGTCAACTATTTCAATAATAATGTATAAGTTGTGATTGTTACAGCCCTAAGCCAAACATTGTCCATTCCCCAAACATGCAGCTGATTTGCCCCTGTTCCCTCAAACATAAATTAACCACATTTAGAGAAGTTATTACTGAGACGAAAACTCCCCACATGATTTCATAAACATTGTTGACAGAAGCATTGTGTCCTCACCTTGGTCAGAGCTTGCTCAGTTTTCTCGGGGGCGCTGCGGTACGCTTGAGAGATGTCGCTGAGTGGGAGGGGCATGTACTGCAGGGTAAAATTACTATATCACAAAAAAAGAGAGAGAAGACAGAGCAGGTTGCATGATTTATACTTCTTATTGTGTGTATGCGTGTGATGCTAACACACAACAAGGCACTTTAACAGCTTGTTTTTGAATTAACAAAATGCTAATTCACCCCACTTTTTGTTTTCAACACTCAAGATCTGCGAGGAAGAATATGAATGGTAAGCGCATAGGGCGAATGATGAAATCTTGAGTAACTCCAAACATTGCACAGTCACATTGTGTAGAATGTAAGATCTGGGGTTTCCTTTTATGAGCCTCGGGTGAATTGATATGTGTACACGGCGCTCTTCAAAAGTCCCGTTTTGGGTGCGAGTGTCTTACTGCTCCATCGCTCGTGCCACGTCCTGGAAACCGGTCGCCGTGGTGTTGTTGCGATCCCACGTCACGCTCCTGAGAGAGAGGGAAAGACAAAGACGGGAGATGAATAAAGAAATACAGATGCAGAAATGATGCTTTTGAGACACTTCTAAACAACCAGGAAAGGAGAGATGGTGTTGCCTTTTTCTGCGCAGAGTTCCCAAGACATCGACAGTAACTTTTACCGACATGACAAGAGTTTTCCCCTTCAATGTGATGAAATTCTGTTTTACCTGGTGTACATCCAAACGGTCAAACCACAACCAACTGTTCATGGAATATAATATTTCCCAGCTTTCACTCATGATCATTAGTTTCATATGTATATTTTTTGGCCTCCAGCACAACTTTAGCTCAGCGTTTTAGACGGAAAGGGGAAAAAGATATATGCTTTGCTAATCAGCCACGGCTCACTGTTTGGCCTTGGGCTGCGTACATGAGATATGCAGTGGGTAATGTCTTCTCTAAATATATAAATAAAGTAAATACAATTATGACATAAAGGCTTAGGTTTAACTCAATTATATATGTTTTAATAGTTAATAGTCACGTATGCTTATCCATTATTGAAAGTTTTTGTAAGTTGTAAATTACTATTATTTCAATTATGTTACTATTTGTCTACATCTAGAACAGGGGTCTCCAACCTGTGGCTCGCCAGCCACAGGTTCAGGTAGCTGCCAAAATAATTCAGAATTTAACACATGAGCTTGAACGATTCACTTTTGAGTATAAATATAGGGTTTTTATGTGTTATGGTATATTTTACATGAGTTTTGTCATTGCATAGATTTTTATTTATGCAAAAAGGAGTAGCTCTCTGCCTCTTCTGTTGTATAAAAGCAGATTTCTGATTGAAAAAGGACCCCTGATCTAGAATAATTTCATCAGCAAACACACCTGGGTTTTGCTGCCATAAAAAAACAAACATGTTGAGAATATAAAGGTTAATGCATAGAAATCTGACAGCCAGAGATAGCGGAAATGTTTTACACAAGAGACCTGGGTTCATTCTTCAAGTCATCCAGAATTAATCCACAGTGTAATGATAATGAGTGTTGGGAGTAATGCCTTACAAACGTAATGTGAATACTGTAATAAATTGCTTTTTGATGTAACATGGTAACGTAAAGCATTCAAAAAAACAGAGTCACCTGGTACAAAGGTAGGTAATGTGCGTTACATTGTAATTTAACCTGAAATGAAATGGTATTTTGTTTTTATACTACCGCAAGAACAGCAGAGGAAAAACAAATGTAAAAGGTAAGAAGACACATTTTACACAAACTTAAAAACAACATTGGATATCTTCAGGTTTCCCTCTCCTTCTTTTCTGTAAATATGTGTTAATCAAATACATACTGTTTTCTCACATTTTTAGCAGAAGTGGCAAAATGTTGTTCCAATTAAGTTAAATACTAACCACATGACAAGCTAACCGATGCTCCCCCGGAGAAAATAATTGCCCACCTATGGTCTAAAAGATATAGCTCACACACACACACACACACACCCACACACACACACACACACACACACACACACACACACACACACACACACACACACAACACAACAACAATTGGACGCTATTTAAGTAGTATAAAACATAAAGAGCCATGGAGAAAGTCCACAGATAATTACCAAGTGGCTGTAAATTGAGATAAAACTGTAAACCCACACAAACTAGCTGTGAAGACTTCGACCGTCTCCTAAAATTATGGATACAGGGACCAGAACCATGAAACTAATGAGATCCAGAGACTTTGGAGCAGCCTTCCCACACGCGCTGTCTAACTGCTGGTTCTAATACGTCACTCTGTCCTTTCATCCATCGTTACCTCCATCATTCCGTAACTCTGCCCTAGATCTTTCTCCCGCAAAACCCCAAATCACACACCCCAGGAGGTCTTCCCTGCTCGGCCCATCAAACTTTACTCCATCTCTCCTCGTCTCCAGCTGGGTCCCCTTCACTCGGCTCCCACACGCACAGGCAATATTCTCGTTTGTGCGTGTTTGTAGGTTATATTGCTCTTTCCATCCAAAGCTCGCATTCTATTTTTGTTTTTTTTTACCAGAGGTTTAAGGAGTATGGAGATGTGTTTTTTACCAAAGAAATGAAACAAAACTAAAAAGCACATTTGAATTAAATTATGGTGAAATAGGCAAACAGCAATGATGCAAGATAAATGGGAAACAGAATTGATAATATTTGGTTCTGGATCTGTCCCTTTGAACTACTGTGGTGGTAGTATTAGCGTCTGCTTCGTCCAACCCCTTTTTCAAACTGTGTCTGATTGTTTATGGTGTATCCTGTTTGACTTCCTTTTTGTGTGTGCACAGGTTTAGAATAAATGAATATTGAATAAATATAGGAATACATTCCCAATGAATACATACATACATAAATATTATCAAATAAAAATGCATAAATTATTGTTCAAGTGTGAAATTGAAAAATAGAGGGCATACAACTGTATCTCTGGTGCGTCTACACTTTATTGCCACCAACAACTAAGTTCATAAATGAATAATTGTTGTAATTATTTCTGCATTTACTTTTAGTGAAAACAATCCAAAACTTTAAATGGGTACTTAGCCTGCATTATGTCTGTACATTATGCCCATGTTGCTAGTATAATGGTAAGCTCTGGCCTTAGTAAAACCTTTGTGCTTTTACTGTTTCGGTTCATTGATGTTGTTCTAAGCAGAGAATCTTTCCTCTCATTGAACTCTGAGTGAACCAGAGTGCAGACCCACCTGAGAGTGGTGTTGATCTGCAGGGCCTTGCTGAGCATCTTGGCGCCTGTGTCCTCCAGACTGTTCCCACTAAGGTCCACTTTCCTCAGGCAGGCATTGGAGCCCAGGGCGTTAACCAGCATCGTGCCTTTCTGACGCAGACGAGAGTCTGCCAGCGACAGAGACTGGAGGGCCTGGGCAGGGAACAAAGAAATATAGGTCATTTAGAATGCCTTCAAATGTGGGGGGCCCGCCGGTGGTCCCTTTGCATTATGCTCTGTTTTATTATTTTATCTGCCCACTGGTACAACTACAACCATCATGCTCGAACATGGGTGTGATAAAATTAAAGCTGTATCCACTGAATATGAACCCTTGTGAGGATGTGAATGTAAATTTCTCCTGTGTGAGATCAATCTTATCTTATGCGTATTCCAAGCACACACATACTACAATATGAGCTAAATTTAAGAATCTATTATTTCCAGTCATTTTTGCGTCAGCAGGGAGAGGGGGATTGTCCAAACCAACAGCTGGACAGTCAAGGAATTTCTTTTTTGAGTATAGATAGTGACTACTTTAAATTTGAATAAATGGATCGACAGAGGCTAAAGCAACATTCACAATTTCTTGATCAAAAAGCATTGACTTTAAAGTTCTCTGTTCTCAGACCGACTCAAGACAATGGAAACCAAGCCTAAATGTTGTATTTCTCTTTTCCTTGAAGGGATAACTTATAAGAGTTGTGCAGAAACTAAAAAATCCTTTTTGCACAGAGACTCATTAGAATTTTAGATTGTGTGCGTGACCATATCCAGGTGAAGAGACGGTGATTGGAGATAGAAAACAGAAATAAGTTGTTAAAAATTCTCCTCAAAGAGACTTGGCGCATGAAATTGTATGTTTTTATGACTGAGCAGAGAAAGTATGGCTAATCGCGGCAAGAAATCACAGAAATGAAACTGCAGTCATGGCTCCGTGAATCAAAATGCAAATATTGTAAAGGAATTATTAAAAATGTGGAATATCATTAAGACTGCTGGAGATTTCAGTGCATGACTTATACCTTATATTAAGGGCACCGAACCGGAGCTCAGTGATACTACACAGTAAGTCGAGAAATGTGAATCTAACTCACAAGTTTCGTTCAAAAAGAAATATGAAAAATGAAATGACTTAAATAAAGTAAGTTCTTCAGTATCATTAACAACAGTTATGCAATTAAAATGACCAACGCAGCAGTCATTTGAATATAATGTTGTTCCCCCCGTGTTGGCACTTCAGATAATATGTGTAGTACCATAAGATAAGAAAGACTTTATTGATCTCACAATGAAGACATTTACAAGGAAACTGCATGATTGTGTTGTATATTTTTCTCATCATTCTTTTAACAGTATAAAGTTACAGCCCACCTTGTCACCAGCTGACACTAACTTGCTTTCTTGTTAAGTGAGTGAATGTGAGAGAAAAGCTGTCGGTTTAAACCATAAAAACTCATACATGATTTAGTGGGTACTTGTCAGGCTGGATTTTCTGACCAGAAAAAGCTGCAGGGCTCAAGAGTCGTGCACATGATGAGGAGAAACATGTGCCGTGTGTGAATGACGCAGCACTTTACCTTTATGCATACTAAAAGACAGTGCCATCTGTTAGTGCCATGTGAAACTACTCGGACTCTGAGGAGCACAGGGACTGGCCTCCTGCTGGTGCGCCAGGGTCAGGACTAAACATGAGGAGGCAGTATTTCAGATTTATGTAGAAAAAAACTAGAGTCGTCTTCCTGAAAATGTGGGAAATGCTTCTATTCTGAAAATACGGTATTGAAATCAACATACAACTTGCATACAACTCAAGGATTATTTCTTAACTCTTTTTAATGTGCCGTAATTATCTATGATTTGAATTTTTCTTTAGTTGTTTTGTTAAGCACTTGAACTGTGCTAAACAAATAAACTTGCCTCGCCTTGCCAAGTACGCTGCGTAAATATGTTTCATCCAGCTACAACCGGACCAGCATTTTGACTGCTGTGTTATCCATTTTGCCTTTGAACGTATAGTTTTAAGGCTTTGGTTTAGCACCCCATGTTTTTGATAAGAAGCGTATACATTCATTGAAAGGTACATTCCTCGAGTTGCTATTTTACCGTTCAACATTTTGAAACGGTCACACAATTTTGTGTGATGCAACTCACACAGTCTTCCTCTTGCACCAGATGAACTAGTTTCTGCAGTATCTCATCCAGCAGCCTGAGGAAAACAGGGGAACATCCATCATTAGTGCATCTGAGCCACATCTGCAGAGAGTGTGTGTGAGTGTGTGTGTGTGTGTGTGTGTGTGTGTGTGTGTGTGTGTGTGTGTGTGTGTGTGTGTGTGTGCGTCCTGTTGCCACCTACCTGCCCTTGATGTTAAAGTTCTTCCCCAACATCAGGTGTTTGAGGCTGGGATGGTGAGAGAACGCAGGGACCACCGCCAACAGGTCTGCATCCAAACCTGAGCACGACACCGCATTAGTATTCATGAACCTTACAGACGGCCGCAACAGTGTTCTTGATGAATCTATTTCTATATATTTAGTTTTTTATTCAACCTTTATTAAAGGTATAAAGGAGGATTTTCCCATATTTTAGGAAAGAACCGCCCTTTCTACTTTTTGAACAAAACTCTCTGCTCTTATAGGACAAGGACGTATAAACAGAATGATTGACATTTGGGAGGACCAATAGTGTTGATGATCCACCCGGAAGTAGAAAATCCTCTTGTATACCTTTAACAGAAAAGTCCCATTCAGATTAAGAACCTGATTTTCAAGGGAATCCTGGAAAAAAGTCACACACAGTTACAGATACAATTACAGATTATAAAAGCAGTTACATTTCAATGAGGACGTCTCAAGTTCTCTCAATATGGATTTAAAAAAATTCAATGAAATAAATTTGGAAAATTTCCAGACTTTTTGCAACACGTTCCATGTAAAAGGAGCTGCATATACAGTAAAAAGCCTTTTTTTCCCCACTTCTGTGTGGGTAAAGGGAACAGAATTATTTACTGATATCATGTTGAACTATAGTTAATATATAAAAGGAGATTCTTAAGTAAAAAGACTGAGTGAGTAGGGTGACCACTTTGAATTGTAGGCTGTAATAAAACTGGGCCACGTTATGGCAAGGCAAGGCAAGGCAAGGCAAGTTTATTTATATAGCACAATTCATACACAAGGCAATTCAAAGTGCTGAACAGAACAAGAAAGCATTAAAATCATAAATAATCACAGTACATTAAAAAAAAGATAAAAAATATAAAATCCCTCAGTTGTATGCACAGCTAAACAGAACTGTTTTCAACCTTGTCTTAAACATTGTCAGAGAGGAGGCCTGTCTCACATCTTCAGGAAGACTGTTCCAGATTTTAGCAGCATGAATCTGAAAAGCAGCCTCCCCATGTTTAGTTCTGACTCTGGGCACTAACAGGAGTCCAGTCCCTGTGCTCCTCAGAGTCCGGGCTGGTTCATATGGTACTAACATGTCACTAATATAGTTTGGTGCGAGGCCATGGAGAGATTTGTACACAAGCAGAGCTGTTTTAAAGTCTATTCTCTGAGCCACAGGAAGCCAGTGCAGGGACCTGAGGACCGGACTAATGTGGTCGTACTTCCTGGTTCTAGTCAGGACTCGAGCTGCTGCATTTTGTGTACTGCACCTGTTTTACAGCCTGTTTGGACAGACCTGTGAGCAGGCCATTGCAGTAGTCCAACCTACTGGAGACAAATGCATGGATAAGAATCTCCAAGTCTGCTTTAGACACTATGTTTTTGATCCTGGCAATGTTTTTTAGATGGTAAAAAGCTGCTGATGTTACTGATTTGATGTGGCTATTAAAATTTAAGTCTGAGTCCAGTATTACCCCTAGATTTCTGACCTTGTTTGAAGGTTTTAGGGAGAGAGACTGTAGGTGACAGATGACGCTCTCTCTTTGTTTCTGGGGACCAAAGACAATCATTTCAGTTTTGTCTGCGTTTAGCTGAAGGAAGTTGTTTTGCATCCACTCACTGATCTGTTGGATACAGTGAAGGAGTGAGTCCACTGGTCCATGTTCTCCTGCAGTCAGTGAGACATAGATCTGAGTGTCGTCTGCATAGTTGTGATAGGACACTTTGTTTCTGCGTATTAACTGACCTAACGGCAGCATGTAGAGATTGAACAGAAGAGGTCCCAGGATCGACCCCTGTGGTACTCCACAGGTCAGGGCCATATGATCTGAGACACAGTCTCCAATCTCCACAAAGTACTTCCTGTCTTCAAGGTAAGACCTAAACCAACTTAGGGCGGTGCCAGCGACTCCAACCCAGTCCTCTAATCTCTGTAAGAGGATCTCATGGTCGACGGTGTCAAAGGCAGCACTCAGATCTAACAAGATTAAGATTGAGACTTTGCCTGCGTCAGTGTTCAGCCGGATATCGTTTGTAACCTTGGCGAGAGCAGTCTCAGTGCTGTGGTGGGGTCTAAAGCCGGACTGAAACATATCAAATGAGTTGTTAATTATAAGAAATCTAGTAAGCTGTAGGTAGACAACTTTTTCAAGGACTTTCCCCATAAATGGCAGATTTGAGATGGGACGATAGTTGTTAAGTACCGTAGCATCGAGACTGCTCTTTTTTAGCAGGGGCCTGATGACTGCAGTTTTCAGGGCCTTTGGGAATATTCCAGAATGAAGGGACATGTTTACTATCTGTGTGAGTGAAGGTAACAGACTGCTCAGAACAGACTTCAGAAATCTAGTGGGTAGTACATCCAGGCTGCATGTGGAGGAGCTCAAACTGGAGATTATTTCTTGGACAGTTATGCAATGGGACACGGTGGGACAGCTGTGATAAATGAAACGTTTAAGCTAAAGACTAGGGTGGATGATTTTTAGAGTTTATTCCAAAAATGGGGGTCTTCATATTCCCTGTGTTACCTCTCCGAATACAAGAGTTAAAATGTTGATGTGCAAGGGATATTTACGCTATCAATATTTCAGTCCATGCAGGTGTCGTGCCAATATGTAAAGTGTATTGGAGGATTATCTACCAAAAAAAGATTTATAGTGCATCATTAAAAAGAGAAAACAAAGCTGATGGAGGAGGCGAAAACAGCTGAGAATGCTTTTCAGTGCAGCATTATATAATCATAATAGTGGCCTTGTTGTTTGTTTTCCGTACAATTGCTCTTCCCAAATACAGAGCAACCAATTAACCCTGTCTTCCACTCTCATACTCATCTTCAAAAGGCTCAGGAGGGGAGATGGTTGCCATGGTGAAATCAACCACTAACTAAAGACGCACAGACTGAAGTATATGTGCAGAAACTTGTACATGCTTCAAATATGAATAAAGAGGGTTAATCAAAAGGAGAATCAGCAATCTAATGTAGGACAGAAGCCAAGTGAGGACAGAGCCATTTGTTTTTGCATTTTACGTATGAGCCAATATCTATATTAGTAATGTACTGTATCTTCATCTTTATATGTCATTGTGAATTCAGGAGTAATCAAAAACAAACTCGAGGAAAATGAAAACCCTTCTTACTACATTCACAAATTGATATTAAATTGACCATTCTCTCTAATGGTTATCTACAGATGTAAAGACATACTTTTTACATATTGCTCAACAGTGAGGTTCAATGAATCAACTATAATGTGAAAGAGTGATATGAGTGCAATGAAGGGGTGTGTCCATACATGCGTCGATATTCTACACTGAGGCAAGTGCGGAGATCACATTTCTATACTTTAACTACATACAGCCTGCTATTTAGTAACTCAATTCATTTAATCAATGCTATGTGTATGCATCTTATGTGTAAACAAAGAACTTTCTGTGAAGAAGCTCATGCACAAAGATTTCTGGAGAGCGCCAGGATCTGTATTGGTTTTACTATAATGTACGGCATGGCTTAAAAAAATACATATGTGATGAGAAAACCCTTCTCACAGTAAGAGACATGTTAAAGGTATTACTGAAGCAATGTAGCCTGGCTAACGCCAGACTGCTGTGTGCGCTCGAATCCTTTCGAACGACGAAATATCACTTGTGATATTTAGTCTGGCGTTAGCCAGGCTAGAAGCAATGGTCATATCTAGTTCAAATAAATATAGAAGGACAATATTTTGTTCCATAATGTATCAAACTGCAGGTTATACTGCAGGTGAAGTAATTACAGAACCAAGCAGGTGGGGATCAAGCCTTAACCAAAAAGTTGTCTTGCAAGGAGGAATGACAGCTAACCCAATACAGCCTGTAATACATAAACCAATATTTACGACAACCCAAGACCCTCCAGGCATACAGACCTTTAGCGTGGCTTTGCTTTTACAAGAATGCAAAGTGAATCTACAAAAGGTGACATTGTGCCTGGTGCAAAGGCAGAACAATAGCACAGACTGTCACAGCTGCAGGACAGACATGTGCAGCCTTGTCTCTCACCATTATCCGAAATGTCTAACGTGGCCACACAGGAGACTCGAGGAAACAGCTCCTGAATGACTGCCGCTCCGGCCGACCGCAGCTGGGAGACGACACACAAGCAAAGCATGATGGGGGACACTGCGACCCTGGAGCACTAATATTTGGCGGCACGGGTGAATACATCCAAAGATGGCATACCTCACAGCTGCTGATGTCCAGGTGTAAATCAGCGATATGGGGGTTATTGGACAGGCCCAAGAACAAAGCCCTGCAGGCCCAAGAAGGAAACAGACACAAGCAGAGAGGAAAGAAGGAAGAGGTTTAAGTGAGCGGTGAGCATTCAGGAGAAAGCAGTGGCAGCAGTGATTAGTGCAGTGTGCAACAGAGGAGCACGTTCATCGATACACACATTTATTCCTCCCGTCATCGTTAGTTTAAACAGGTGGAAAACTCACACACAAAAATTCCAAAGTCGATGTGGAACTAATATGATAGACTCATTACATGCAAAGTGAGATGTATCAAGCCTTTATTTGTTATAGCGTTGATAATTATGGCTCACAGCTTTAAAAAACCCTGAATAAAATTTGAATATTTTGAAAATGGTCTTTAAACTATAATTATCTAAATGATAGCAAACAAAGGCTTGGCATATGTCACTTTGTGTGTAATGAGTCTGTATCATATGTTGGTTCCATAACTGAAGTTAATGAGCTTCAAACAATATTCTAGTTTTGCAAGATTCACCTGTGATCAAGCAAAAATAATGATTTAGACTTTAGAAGCATCATCTAATCAAACTGAAAGTTGGGTTAAAAGTGGAACTCATGGTGTTGTCATGGTGATTAAATACGCTGTAAATACTGATGGAGAGGCTTGGTCAAGATCATTCCATAATGGGCTTTTGGTCTAGTTGTGTCTGGATTTACGGTTCTAGTCCTGATCCAATCCAGGTTTAAGTGAGGACACTATAATCCCCATGTTGTAATTATGACCAATACCAATATTTATTGTGACCAATTCCATGCTAATTCTGCACAAGGACACGCAAGGCATTAAACATTATCTCGATATGATAAAATTTGAATTCACCATTTTATCTGGCGCCCTGTACTGGATTTAGGGTCGAAAAACAAATCAACTAAAATGTGCAAATATCCACCCGGTGATAAGTATTTTCAATCATATCAAATCTTCTATCTTATCCAGCGTGTTTGTTCTTGCTCACATAGTCAAATACAAATGTGCGAAATCCTAAAATGCTATTATGCACCGAGGGCCCTGCAGTTTCAGTCCTGACACAAAGCATTGGCGCTTTCACAGCTCAGTCGGTGGCACTACAATGACCACCCAGTGACGAATCACACCAGGAGGAGGTAATGAGAAGCGTTGTGTGGGGAGTACGCTCGCTGCTGCAGCCGCTTTGGACCAGGGCCATCGATACAGCTCACAATCATCTCAATTGTTGGCACTTTGCTTTGTTTACTCTTTTTGGCTCTAATTTTGTAATGGACACACATACAAAGCAGCAGCAAGCCTCATGGGACGCTGCAAAGATCCAAGGCTACTGTTTAAGCAGTTTATGTGAAGGCCAAGCAGCTAAACCAAAGAAAAATCAAATTAGAATTCAATAGGATATATTATTTCCAGTGATTCACATTCCTGAAGAGAGCAATTTGATAATTACTGTCTTAGATTAGCTAGAAACAATAGAAGAAAAAGGATTACAGTTGTATTATTGCACAAATCTTTCCATTTAAAGTCGTATGCAAAGTAATAACAGCATAAATTCAGCTTTGGATAAAACTAAAATATGCCGCCTGCGTCCTCAAGAGGAGGGTAGTGTCTTATACGCATGGATTGTCATGAGCTCCTTTTATCCCAAATCTTCAGAGACAATTTCAGTGCAGTCAAGTTCCAGCTCAGTAATGTTCTCATTTTAAAACCATTTTCCCCCCACACTTCTATTTTTAGCATGTTGATAGAAGTTTAAGGCACTTTTAAAGGCTTTAATTACGCTGTATGGGCGAACACTATAAACTTGATAAATTAATGAGACAGTTGGGTAAGTTTAGCGTAATTTTCCCAACATATTACAATGCCAATTAGGAAGTAACCGAAGCTATTCAGATTATCAAATTAGAAAGTGTCATTAGGACATATTATTTTTGATACATGCGATACAGGCTTTACTTTAACTCAGTTGCATTGATTATTTGATTGACTTTGATTGTTTGGGATACAGATATACATAACTATCATTTGCATCAAGACATGTTCCAATAGAAGCCTTATTAAGGTTAAAGCAGGGGTACCAATTATCTAACGATAAAACATGTGTAACTATAAACAAAATCCATAGTTTGGTTTTATCAGTAGTCTCCACATGCATGTATTTTGTGCTTTTATTACATCTTTGGATCAGCTTTTTCCAACAGAAACATTTGTGACTGTCAAGTTTGTAAAAGATAAGATATTTTCTAAAAAGATTAAGACAGCATGCTGTGGTCTTATTTTGTATATATTTTTGTATAAATAGGATTGGGGAGAATGCATGATGTATTTTCTTACAGCTAAAAATATGTGCCAGGTTTGAGCAAAAATACTGTTTTCCACCCGTGTTTGTTTTCTCTTTCAGTTTGGACAAACCGCATGTATTATGAAAAAAAAAAGTTTGGTCCCCCAGCTGTAAGGTTTTGCTATACTTGATTGTTCCCGTAGCAACAGCTGATGTTTTCTATTGAGCAGGTCTCTGAAGGATTTCACTATTTCTACTCAAAGTGTGTGATCAAGGTTATAATCCGTGATATCCTTGATCACAAACAGCATAGCAACACATAGCAACACTTAAAAAAAAAAAAAAAATGTGACATACCGCAGCGAATCAGGCGGGACTTTCATGGAGGCCAGGCTCACGTGGGTCAGACTGAACGCCGAGCTGAAGAACTGACGGAAAGTTGGCAACGAGTCTCGAACTTTCCTGCAGCGAGACACAAAACAAAACAGGCTTTAAGTTAAAAATGTGCAGAAATAACAAAGCGGGAGGGCGTTTGAGGCAGACATGAGTAAGGCAGATAATGACACGAGGTGGGAGGATGATGACAGACGGCGAAAAGATGACACGCTTATCGACAGTGGCAGGAAGTCAGAGAGAGAGAGAGAGAGAGAGAGAGAGAGAGAGAGAGAGAGAGAGAGAGAGAGAGAGAGAGAGAGAGAGAGAGCCCACAGCTGGTATTATTCTAAGCAGACACACTGTGATAAGGTGAAGTTGGCATTAATTACTGCCACGAGTTTAAAAGGTAATTCTGACCAATTAGCCAGCCATCTGCCCTGACGCGGGAGCCTGGCAGCGGCACAGGCGGCACGACAGGGAGCAGCATTGAGACTGCGACATAACAGAGCCATCTCAGGACGGCGTCAGAGAGGGCTGCTTTTAGGAGCTGTCAGAGAAAGTGCAAGGACCACCAAACAAATCGATGACCACAGGGGGTGAGGAACAGAGAGGCAGCGTGGGCAAGCGCCAAATAGAGCAAGATTGGCGATAACCACAACGCCTTCCGATGAATCTGATTTTTTTAAGTCACACATGGAGCGACAATTAGACAATAGTTTGTATTTATGCATTTAGGCTGTTTGTCATGTTTTGTTTGTTTAGGTCTATATCCTTTTGGACGTATACATTTGATGGATGTTTTTCTTTGTTCCTAACTTAAATATATGTTAGACACTGCAGCCATACAGGACAAAGTTTGATACTGTATTATGAAGAATTTAATATGAAATTATGAGACGTTATTGTTTTCAGTTACTCCTTTGCTAAATCAATTAAACTTATTGATTAAATATGATCAGAGATAGGAGGGTTTGAAAAATATATGTTATTTATGTATGTAGTTTATTTGTCATTGTTTGTTATATATTATTTATAAGTGTATGCATGTTTTATTCATCTGATGCAGAACCGATTTTTACTCAATGTTTGGGGTTGTTGTAAATATGCATTCAACTTAGTTCTGTGGCACATTTACAACAGCGCTCGCAGCCCAAAGCACAAACATGTCAGAAGAGAAAAATACAGCAAATTCAATAATGCAAAAATACATGTCAAAAATCAATCTTCTTTTTTCATTTTCTACTGGCTGGGGTTAAAAGCTAAGGCTTACAAATGTATTTCCAGAATAGATTTGAAAAGGATAGAGTTGTATTATTCAAATCAATACAACTCAATATAAACATGGTGCATGACGCTCAAAACAACCAATTTCTTTCGATGTTTTATCTTTAACTATTTCACCTTGTTGTCATTTTCAGGACATCTGCAGCTGCTCCCAAATTGTCCCGGTTTTGAATCCGCCGCATTTGCGTGGCACAGCTGTCTGATAGTTATGAGACTCATAATGCAAGAGCCTGAGAGCGTAACCAGCCATCAATGCACCCTCCACTGTAATGTCTGTTGAACCAGGTCCAGGCTGCGAGTACAACCACCACACCTGACCCAGGCTTTTGGATCTGGGACCTGATCATAACATTTGATCCACACACTAATGAGACACTTAGCTACAACCAGCGACAAAATAATAGAAATTTCAAGAGCAAATAAATTGCTCTCTTTAAACGATTTCACTTATCATTCATGGAGACAAATTCAAAACTAAACTTTAACAGAGTGAATTAGCACATTTACACGGTTGAATTTACATCTGCAAAAGGTGTCTCTTTTCAGTACATAATCACTGTGTATTACTAAATCATATCTAAATGAGACATATTATGCAAACGTTTTGAGCTTTTAACCATGTCCAATATGGTTAAAAACAGACCTAGAGTTGCTTTTAGATTCATACTAATAACTAACTTACATGCAAACTTGTAACTTGGTCCATTGGTCTAAAAGCTCCTGTCTTAGAATGCCGTCATTGTGCCACATTGACATGAGGCTCAGAACAGTTGTTTTGCCTTTTAAAACAAAAGTTGTGCCCCTAATTATGTTTTTTATTTTTATTTTTTCAGGTGAATAACATTCTGCCTGTGTTTGAAAAAAAAGCAGTAAAAACTCCATCGGGCAGGCTGATAGCATTGTTTACCACTCTTGATACTTGTTTCATCATATATTTTCAAATTAAGATATTAATTGACATTCTTAAACATGCCAAAACAAATGAACGGCCAAAAATAGGTTTGATGTATGCCTAATATTTCTTCTTAAGTAGTAAAAGTCACTAAAGGTTGGCAGAGATAATGCATGTGCAACTATGCTGATATGAAATATTAACAAAATCAATAGTGTTGGAACTTGATAAGAATGAAACCATTTCTGACCCCTGCCGGCTGCCTCTGCGCGGATCACCCCCCGAGGAGGAGGTGTTTTGGACTCATTTGTTATGATTAGCATGCAGCCTGTCAACACGCGCTGGATCCAGAAATGCTTTTGTCGCATAAGCAGATACGGTGTCAGAGTGTCTCCGTGAAAACAGCCTCCAGAGAGCTGCCTCAGCGTGTTACCCCCGCGCACACGTCTGTAACCCTATATCTACATCAGAGGGGCTACAAGTGCTCCGTCTCTGTATTCAGAAGCAGCAGTCTGGCGGGCCTTATCACTGACACACAGGTTGGCCTCCTCATGTTTCAACACATCTTAACTATTTGACCAGCAGCAGTGACCCACTGAGCATTTAATGACATGAAACTGACGCGGGCAGGAGGGGTGTGGGGTGTGGGCAGACAGACAGAGAGAGTGTGACGGCGAAGGGGAAGATATACACATGACGTTTAAGCTGTACTCAAACTTAACGCATTGACTGCCATTGACGAATATGTCTGAGACCCTGGATTCGACTGGGGATTACAGGACAATAAAAATAGCTAGAAAGAGACTTATTTTATCTGATCAAAGTAGACAATCCAGTCTTTAGGAATCTGGTTTCATAATTTCACATAGTTTTAGGAAATGACATTCTGTGGGTCTTGAGAATCAGTGAAATCATCAAAAATGGCTGACAGTCAATGGGTCAAAGAAGCAACAGGGAGACAAAAGATGCAAAAGATCAGAAAATTGCATGTACTGTATGTAATTGCACTAGGACTGAAAACTTGCACTGCTTTTAATTTGATCGTACATAATATATCATGCACATTTACAGTCTTTTGCACCACCTGAGTGATACTAATTATGCCAAATGTGACATATAAATTTCTCTATTGTGAGATCAATGAAGTCTATCTTATCTTATGGTGATGTAAATGCATTCAAAGCTGCAGTGGAGTCTTAACAAACAGTCCATTGCACATTACTAATGCAGAGAAATTAAGTTTATATATAGGGCAGTTCATTTTGCGTTATTGGTAGTAAAACAGAGGTTTAATAGCTTCACCGCTAAAACTCAATATTGTTTTAGGGAATAATATCGCTAATGTGCCATGTGTTTTTCTGTGGGGAAGCTTTGAGTGCCTCGCTGGTAAGACTCATGCTTTATTATTCAAACAAGGAAGTAGCTAAAGAAGATTTGGTGCACAATGTTAGCTTTCATGGACAACAGACAACAATAAACAAAAGATCATAAGTTATAATTACGTATGTTCGAAATATACATTAAACCCTGTCCCTTGTCTTAATCAGCTTCAGGACTCCATTGAAAAATAGTTTATTAATCTCAAAGGGAGTTACCTGATTAGATAAAGGGTAAATAAAACAAACCTAAAAATAAAAATAATAATAAGTAAATAAAATTAATTATTTAAAGTGAAAATGTGTCTTAAAGGAGCAGTATGTAAAAAATCTGGGCTAAAGAGGTACCGCAACCTCTCCCTCTCTCCTTGACTCGGCCAGATATGCTGGGACCATAACAACTGAACAGACAAGAGTTTTGTCAACAACAAATCTATAACCAACACCTTTTCCACAAAGGCCACGATAGATATGCTTTTTTTTTTTATTCCTTTTTTTTTTTTCCTTTGTCATTAATGATTTGAGAATTGAAACAAGAACTTTTTTAGTTTTGAGGCCACATGTTACCAGTGAGATTAGCTCGATGCTGTGAGTTCTGGCAACCCGGATCACAGACTTTCTCATTGGTAAAACAGTGGAGAGCGGGACATCAAAATGAAAACCAGATTTAAGGGCTAAATATCTCGGCTGAACTACTGTTATCAGTTAAAGAAGTATTGGAAAAGAGCACGGTTAATTAATGCCTTTTGACAGATTAGGGCCATTTAATGACTACTTGACATGCACATTTTACATATTGCTCCTTTAATTATCAGATAAAGATAACATTTACTCACAGTACATAGTAAGGCAGTCATTAGTATTGTTCAGACTTTCCCGGAGATTGGCCTCACTGGTGATTTATTCCCCACAAGTAACTTTTAATTGAGAAACATTAAACCCAAATCCTGCATAGAATAGAGATGAGACTGAAAGATCACAACGAGGTCATAAGTGATGTGACAGATTGAGTCAGATCCCGGAATAATACAAATCTGAGTGGAGGCCAGGGATGGAATCAACGATTGCATCTAAATTTAGGCTCATTTTTCACAGAGTTATTTCAGTGTAATTTGGTAATATGATTCTGTGAGTGGGGAAGCTCCTGGGCTCTCAGGCGAACGCGAGATGAGAGCGGCGCCTATTCCTGCTGTGGAAGTAAACACGGTGCAGAAATAGAGTGGTGATCCGCGTTCATGAGTCAACTGTAACTGAACGTGTTAGCAAATGAACATGTGTAAGTCAAAACGCTCCCACGTGGAAAACGCGCTGCTAGGCTACGGTCAGGTCCGATGGGCGAGCGTTTCATTATGCTAGCCAATCACGGAGCGTTATGGAGTCACAAGGGGGAAATATGGGGTTAAAAAAGTACATTGTGATGGAAGAAACCCACCTGTGAGCGAAGGTGTTCTTAGACAAGTTTAAGTAGGAGAGGTCGGCACAGCAGCCACGCAGCAGCGCCCCGAACAGCTGTCGATAAACCACAGGAAATGAGACAGGGTAATTAATCACATCAGGTAAACGCCAAATTAAACAATAATAAAGTCATGGTACAGGCTGGTTGTGTTTAAATTATACAAGCATTTGGATTTCACCTATATTTCCAACATATCAAGATTTTTATCAGACATTACATGCATTGGCATCCTTGTAAGCTCATGTATTTCCCTGCCCTTCATTTTACAGTAAATTATTCACTGTAGATTTGAATGAACAGTATTTTTGCGCACGATCTAAAGCTGTATACTCATTTACTGTATATCTCCTCTTGCATTTGGAGCGTCTGTAGAAACCATGGACTGTAAATATGAATAGAAACGCGTATTTTAGCCATTATTTGTCAGCACCGAACCTCCAAATGAATGTACAGTTTGTAGCTGAATATTGTTGCGCCGTTGCATTTCCAGTGTTTGAACTGTTTGATTCTCTGATCCGTGTTGGCGAGTCGACAACTTTGTAAAGTCCTCGGCGATAACGACCGTTGGGATTTTGGGCTATACAAAAGTAAACGGAATTGAATTGAAAAGGAGTACAGGTGATTTACCACATAATCACATCTAAAGATTTCAAGTCCTATTTTGATTTTTATCGTGATTCCTACAGTTAATATCTTGATAGAAATGATTAAGACATAACTTCTGCTGTCTCTGAGAGATTACACTTGGTGGTTTTATCCATAATATTCATTCAGAGCATGACAGAGGCTGAGAGGAAAAGTTTGGGTTGACCTGTTTTTCCCAAATTCCAACGTATCGGGATTTTTTATCAGACATTACACAAATTAGCATCCCTAGAGGTCATTTTTTATTATGCTATATTTATTATTTTTTCCTCCATATAATCTAAAACTGTATACTCATTTAAATCTCATCTTTCCCATTAGTTTGAAGGTAAAAGATTGCTCTATCAATTGCTTTCTGCACCACGCTGAAGAGTTAAGCAGTAAATCTTTCTTTCATCCATTAACGTGCATATGAGATTACACAGTCTATGGAAATTACCCGTCCATCTTGTAACGATAGTGCTCAAAAGTGGGAATAAAATGCTTTGAAATTTAAAAAAGTGAAATGCATTGAGCGATATGAGCCAATTCATCTTGAAATAAAGGTGAAATATGTGTGTTTGTCAGACGGGGTGGAGCTGCTGCAAATATAATCTACCTCATTTCACTCAAGACTTAGGGGAAAAAAAGGATAGATTTGCAACGAGGTCAAAGTGTAGGACAAATCTATTTTTCCGGGGGCAGTGTCATCCATCAAGCGAATTGACTCATCGACCATTGGCGGCACAGATTAGAAACAGGAACTTATTAATAATTAAATTCAAGAGATCAGCACAAAAACAGACACGTTTCTCCTTGATAGTTCCTCTCCTTGAGTGTTCACGACAATTATCACAACAAGAGGCACTAAAGGATGAGATAATAGCACGGGCAAAACTATGACGGAAAAACAAATGGGAGAAACGACTTTCACAGACGGTCGTTATGGAATAAAAGCCAGTCTCCAGTTTTGGCGACTTGAGTTTCACAAAGTGGACTATTTCCTGCATGAGCAAGTCCAACAGCTTCTGTGTGAGCGTATTGGAGTCAAATAAGTAAAGCAAACTGTGATAGTGTGGGTGCTAGTTGAGAAGAACAAAATTATGAGGAGCAGGGCAGCATTAGATCAGCCATTATTTGATTATGGGGGTAAGTTTGGGTATGGATTTTGTAGTTTTATTAAGCTCTTTGAGTGGCTGTGTATATGAACTGTGCTAAACAAATAAACCTACCTTGCCTTGATCTCACACTTATTGGTCTGGTTCATTTTAACAGCACCAAGTATGAGTCTAACTGACTAGTGTACACATGTTCACTTGGGTAGTTTTACATCCACTAATGAAAGCATTTAGCCCCATGTGAAAGAGAATTGGTTCAGTTAAAGTGATACAGAGGGATTGAAGATCTGCAAAGAAAACAAGATTAAGTTCCTAAGCTAAGACGTGAGTAACCCCTGGCTTTCCCCAAACGTATTTCTACATTTTTCTTACATGTTTTTCTTATATTTATTTCTGTTTTTGATTTCAGTGGTCCTCTATCTCTTACACAGTTTCAGGGATCTACTGTTTGTCTGGTTTACATCCACCAAAAAACATGTTGTCCAAAGTGAAGCAGAGCCATGCCTTTGCGTACTACTGCTATATACATACGTTTAATAGAGAGTCTAAATTCATTTTTTCTTAGCTTGACAAGTTTCAAATGACAGAAAGATAGAACAACATCAATGCCACAAAATCGTGAAGTAAGCTCGGCGGGGGTTGCACTGTGCCTGCAGATGTAAGTCATGCACGCTGTGCTTGTGTATCATTGGGAATGAACCGGCCATCCCCTTGCCTGGTGTGCGCCATTTACTCTGCTGATTGCTGTGTGGTTGTTGTGGTATTATGTTCAAAGGTTATAATTTCTTGGCAGTAGGAGCATGTTTTTTTACCCATGAGCATGAGCATTCAAAACACAGTGCATTATATCATCTATAAAGCAGAAACAAAAACACTTTTTCTCCATCTCTGTCCCACCCAAAACCAAGGCCAACCATGAAAATGTTTTTATCATTCAAATCATGACACACTCCCCTCTACTGTATTTACATTATTCTCATTTATATTTTCTATGACGACTCTACTTTCTTCTGTAATTTCAAAATGATACGACTATCTCTCTCCTGAATATTCATATTACATACTGTATCTGTAATCAAGGCTCATCAAACTCATGCACGCACGCACACACCTCTTTTTGTATGCATTGCCCTGTCTGCATGTACTTCTGCACATCTACATTGTCTATATTTACTGTCTTGCCTTATGAATGTATTGCATGTGCTGCCCTGCTAATCGACGTACATTGACTGTATAAAATAAAAGAGGAAAAAGAAAAAAGGAACTGTTTTAGAATGCAAAAAGTGGTAATCTTCCACTGCACATTCTTCATCACTCATGTTAGGCTGGCTATAAATAGTCCTGTAACAAACACATGACAAAGATAAAGTGTCAAAGATGTGAACAAAAGGCTGCATCAAAGACCCTATTCTTGTCATGCTCAGAATCTATTATTTATAGTAAAGATACATTCTTTTACACAGTTCCAGTGCACTCTCCATAGCTTGAGGTACTGGGTGCAACACTTATTCCTAGAGACAAAGAAACCGCTGACTGGAGCAGCAGTGGGAGTAGTTCTTCAATGTTAATACTGTGCTCTCTCTGTGGCATGGATTTAGTTTATATCATGTGTTAATATGAAAGGTCTATGGGTGCCATGTTTTTTGAAAGTTTTTCCAGATCTGAATAAAGGGACAGAAGTGTTGTACCCCCAACAATTGAAAGAACAAATCTAGTGATAACAAGGCATTCTCATTTGCCTCCAATGAACCCTCTCTGCTTCACTGAGGTAAGGTAACATTAAGATAAAAGTACAAACCGAGTCCACAGTGCAGTCTGTTCCCGACAGGTCCAAATGAACCAGGCAGTTGGGCTGAGCCAGGAACAAGTAGAGATTCTAAAACAAAAGTCAATATTAGTGCAAAACAACAGCAAACAGCAAAAAATAGGTTTCTTCATAAACTTTCTGTGTGAAGCTTTGGAGAAATGAGAGAAGAATGCAGGCTGCACTACGAAACATATACTGTATACTTAAGCTCACATTAACTTTTATTTTATGACTTACAGCTGGAGTACCTAACTTCATTTTGTTTTAGGAATACATTTTGTTTGTCCCAACAGTCCAAATCAGACCCGCAACACACTGTCTTTACCTTATTAGAAAGCATTCCATCTGATTAGCTCAGTAAGGGCTGGTCCTCTTTTTTCAATGAAAAAGCAGGCCATAAATACTGTATATTGTTGAGAAAACGAGCAATAAAACCATTTTTATTTTTTTTTATCATATAGCAGGCACTCTTTGCTATTTGAAACTTGGTTGGTTTGTCTGAAATATTCCAGCGTAATAATAAACTGCAGGGTTTTTTAAAAAGAAGAAATTGTTATAGGCTGTGCTGAGGAGCTTTATGTACAGTTTCATTTGTCGACTAAACAAATCAGAAAATGTAGTAATTTTAGCGCTGACAAACATCAAGTTCAGTGCCACTTGAGTGCAGTCCAAGATATGGAGACACTGGTATGGCTGTCTGTTAAAGTCATAACTGTTCTTTTGTTATTTTCTTTTGTCTTGTCTGTCTGTGTGTTTTAAATTGGACCTAGAGTCTGTAATAAACTTGAATTGATTATACCTCGTTCTTTGGGCCTTAAAAATTATGAGACTATTTACTTTATCATTTCACAATTTAGAATGTGAAAAAAATATCTTCAGTAGAAATGTATAGTGGAACAAGTATCGGGTGTAAACGATATTTCTGTCTGTAACTCACTATGCAAACACCACAGTTGTTTTAAGTTTTTTTTCCTAAATTTCAAAATGACCAACTGCAAACACAGATAAAGAACATTACTTGACTTTAGAAATAGCCAAAACTAATTAATTTGCAATAGTTAAAACTGTGGTACAATGACATCACGCTAATACAGGATTGAGACAGAAGGGCCGAAGTCACATGTGCGTTCTGGAGATTTGTGTTGATTATTACTGTATAAACAAAATTGCAGGGCTGTGGCTGAACAAAGTTGCCGCATGGTTTAAAGAGAGAAAAAGTTTTCAAAATACAGTGTCTCCTTTAACCTTGAAAACCCTGTCTCATGGTGAGCCACTTCACAGATCTGACTTGTAACTATATACATATAAATGTGTAGAGTGCACCCCTGAACACTTACTGTAGCATCATCTCCCGATAGCACCCCAGGGTTTTTGCTTAAGTCCAGATGAAGAAGTGAATTTGAGTAGTCGTCACTGGAGCACAAAGCCTGGGACAAGGAAACCACTCCTAAAACAAGAAGAGGGCCATTTAGTCCTGCTGTTGCTAGTAGTTTAGCAAGCCTTCTGGAGTCAATTAATCCTTATTTTTCAGAGGGCTAGTCTAAGGCTTCTCATGCCACTTCCCGGTGAGTCATGAATAAAAACAACACGATGCTACCACTATGAGGCGAGGCATAATTGAGCAGGGACCGGAGAGCTCCATAGGCAGCTGGTGGAAAAGGGCTTTTGGAAGAAGTCAGCAAGCAACCGTTATTTCTCTGTATCACTATTCGAGTCTACCCTGAAAGCCCAAACAAAAGAAACTCATTCTCTCAGATTAGATCACTACACAATTACACCCACAGCCTCCACGGAAGCCATCATTAAAATCCTTTCCCTGAACTCTGACGCATTGCACAAGTTTAGAATTAAATATAGGGGCAATATCGAAATAAAAACATGCCACGAGTCATGAAGAGGCTCACTGTGACCCGTTTACAGAAGTCATCATTACTTTAAAACATATACTGTGTGTGTGTCTGTATTTTAATATGTAATTTTATTTGTTTGTATGAATACTTCTACCGCTATGTAATATAGCATTGGGACATAAAAGTGAATATACTGTATGTTTACATAGTTTTGTAAAGATCTTTATATTACTCATATTTCACGGCAAAAGTAATTGTAAATGAATCACCTGTCGCTTAGCAATGGATTGGTGCGGCAAATAGAGTGGAACAGTGATTAATACAGTGGTAGGAATGAAATAGCATTTTTTTGAGTATACAAATAAATATGTAATTGTTACTGTCAAAGATGATGAGATTTATAATTCATTTCATGCATGATTTCTTACAATACGGTTGCACCATATGAATCATTTGGGTGGCATCCATGATAGTAAGTAAATAAAATGCTTATAGGACTGATTTCAAACATTAATGTGACAGGGCTATGAATTATGTTTTTCTTCTTTGAGCTCAGATTGACTAAATGCTACTTAGCCACCCACATTCTGCATGTCACACTGCACAAATGAGCATTTTAACATTGTTCAAAAGAGCCCTGCATACAAAAGAAGGATTACTGTAAAACGTCTTTGTGATTTTGTGGATCATCTGCCAATAGTCTTTACAAATTAGAGAACGGATTCAAGGTCTTCCCGAGCGTAGACTGTATACGGACAATGCTAACCTGCTAGCTTCATGAAGCCTAATAGGGAAGAACTCTAGTGTTGCTCTAATTCATCTGGCTCCTATTGACTTGGAGCGTGGAAGAGTAAACTCCTTTGGCTCAGTATCTGTTTGTGTCACACTTGCTATTTCGGGTTTAGAAATGTAGTTGTTCAGCGCTCTCTATGATTATTTTGATATTGTCTTGGTAAATCCAGATATGAGCCATGTAAGAATTGACCAAATCGATGCCTTCATTCGGAGAGGAAATTCCAGCCTGACTTGGCAACCATCTTAGCAACACAGCTGCCCCTGTTACAGTGCAAAGCTAACTCCGTCAGAACAAATGCCCATATACAGTAAGAGAAACTGGCTCCAGCTACCCCATGTTCAAATCGACTTCCAAATTTAGCAAACACTATAGGTGACGTCAGAGCTCAGTCAGTCCAGTTGCAGCAGTGTGGATAGAAAAGCAGTCTGTGTGCAGTCTGAGCCGCGATAAGCTCTTCATTCATAATTTCTGGCAATTAGTGAGAAACGAGAGGACAATAGGACACTGCGTTTGTCCTTATACCCATCACTTACGATGTGATTGAGTGTCACATCCAAAGCCTTTGCCTCTATGATTACACCGCTCCTTTCCGGTCGTCACACGCGTAGGTGGTTCAGAAGATCAAGGAACAGCGGAGGAAGAGACTTATAAATATGGAATGTCAAAAATATGTGATGTCAAGACACCTACGCCTCAAGGTCATCTCTCCGCATCACCTGACACTCCTGCGGGTTGAACATGTGCGGTGATGGCTACTCTACACTGACGAGGTAAAATACATAGTTAGTCATATTCATAGTTTTATCACATGTATTTGTATGTGTTTTATACCGTTGGCTTTTAATTCTGTAGATCTTTTGTGCCTGTGAAGCACTTTGGGCAGCTGGTGTTGCTGTAAATGTGCCATACAAAAAAATCTGACATTGATATTGACATTATGCCTAACAGGACCCATGGACGTCAATCTGCAGATCATGAAACCCAATGGAATGAATTATATAACTATACAATTTATAAGCAACCCTCAATATTGCACTATGATATGAACTTTACTATACTAGAACAAACAAGATTGTAATAAAAATTGTTTAAAAAAAACATGTGTTTGTGTTAGTTGTAAAACAGACATGATAGAATGGTGTGCCAGGATGAAAAGCAAAAGTAGGACACAGCACTAATGCTCCGGATTTGTATAAAAAGATCTACTTCTGATTACGGCTGGAGTATCATTTGGTTGATGGAGCAGAAAGTACATTGATCTGAATGTGTAAAGCTGCATTTGGTGCAATGAATACAGAGCAGCGCATTAATGACATATAATGTCAACTGCCACTGTATATTTTCCTTTTAAAAACTGCCCTGGTTTAGACTACAGTGCTGTATCTGGATAAAATAGAATATTTTACTTTCAAACTCTTTAAAATATGCAGTATACAAATAATTGATTATAAGCCCTTGCCTTTAGATGAGAGCGTGGTCTTTGACAGATTCAGCAGCCGTAGCCCCTTGTTCAGGCGACACACTTGTTGAATTAGATTGGAGACCCCTGAAAGTACACACAGATTAAGAATGAGAAGAGAAAAAAATTAAATAAAAACACAACAGGCAGGAACTCACTGATTCAAGCAACAATCGCAACACAGACTTTCCAGCCATGTGAATAATATGTATTTACAAAAGCATTACTGATTATAGAAAACATTGTATAATAAATATGTATAATAAATATGTATATACTTTATTGATTCCCCTTTACATTTGACCTATATCTTGGCTTGAACTGTAACTAACTTTAAGCTCAATTACAATGAAAAAGGCCATCTTAAATGATCCAGACAGAGTACAATTTCTGAGAGCTACACCTCAAACATTGTACTCTACTAAAAAGATATCAACATAACTTCCAGAGACACTTTATCGGTTAAGCTCCAGGTCAGCTCAGCATCACAATGGGAATTTCTGTTGCTTGAAAGAACCATTACTTTCACTATCATTTCCCCATGTTCAAACCATAGACTTTATATATTAATGGACGGAGTCACGCCTATCTCCGCCGTTCTAACTAGTGGGCCAAAAAATGTGCTCTACTGAAGCAATCCAAAATGGCCGCGAGTGGTCCCGCCCACAAGAAAATTGTGAAAAAACGCACCTGCGCATGCGTCAGCCGGCGCAACTCCATTCATTTGAACGAGAGACTTCAAAAATTCACAGGAAGTAAACCAGAGTCGACCAAATGCTATATGTTAGCATTGGCTAATTCTTCTTCTGGGTCCACCCCCATCGGCCCGGGGTGGTATTGCAAGCATGTCAGCGCACGTCATTTTGGCCACTTTTGAGCTGGGACCCGCCCCCACTGGTTCAAACAGGGGGAATGAGCACTAAATATCAAACAAAAATCGTGACGCTAACAAATAGGAGTGAACCAGGAAGCAGCAGAAGTGGCACCAAAAGAACCACTGTACCTAACAGCATGCCAAATAAAGAGGCCAGGGACATGGCTTTTATATACCTCCAATAAGTCGAGATGATAAAGTGCTAGCTACTAATTTTTAGTTTACTCACAGAATAACTTTCCATGTAAAAAAAAAAAGTTGATCCTGTTTTTACTATTTTTGGGTGTTTACAATTTGATTACAACCAAAAGCGAATGAATGGCATTTGTATTAGTCCCCCATGTGCCGCTGTTTGTCTGAGTGTGTGACACCAACTGTAGACTGTGCTACACAACTCTGAGGAACTGAGACCAGATCTAAATAGAGCCACCCATTACATCAACTTGCCAAAATTAAGAAAAAAGATTTTGTGTTTCTGTACATACAGTATGGGGTCTTCAAGATACGGCAGATGAAGCCAAAAAAGTGCATTGTCCTATGTCTATATTGAGTGAGATTATTTCAGTTATGCAGATATGAAACAACCGTTATTACTTGCAGGCATTTCAGCTCTATTCACATCTAGAGTGCCTCAATCTGTGTGAAAGCCGAGACACATAATGTGGCATGTGTGAGCATGAGGAATGTTGTGAAGAGAGTGGAAGTGACACGTGTCAGACGAGAGAGCGGGATTAGTAAATGAGCGATTCTGACATTGCCACTGTACAAAAGTGCATTCAACAGTTCTTTTTTTTCAGATAAACTGGAACTGTGTACAGTTATTGTCCTGAAGATCATTTAGGTTGCATCTGTTTATAACAATACTCACAATACATCAATAAAAAACCATACAATTGACGAGTGATCATAAAATATATTAATTCTATTATCTAATTGGAATCACATAGTTTCACTGTGTGCTGAAGTAGGAAGTTTTAGACAGCCCACTTAAATAATTAAACTGAAAGGGAGAAACTAAATCAAAACAATGCATAATTAATCCCAGTCTGGCAACACACAAAATCATAATACAAAAACATTGTTTATTTGTTGGAGAATTAAAAAAAAAACAAAAAAACTATAGCAAACAGATGGGAAAAAAGAGCTCTTTTCAGACAAATATTGTGGAGCAGTGATATATAAAAAGAAGTTCATAATACTTTATCAATCAATCAAGTTTATTTGGAAAACAATTCATTCTTAACAATCTGTTTAACTTAAGATAGGGAAATGGGACAATGATTGTAATAATGCTTAACCCTTTAATGTTCACTCATTGAAGAAAGCAATGTCATGTTCTAAGTTGTAGGAGCACTAATAACACCAATAATTAGTTTTTGTTTTCTTGTTTTTCACCCCCTGTCTTTTTATCATCATGGGTCTTTACCAAATGGTTGAGATGCATGGTTGATGGTATAAGTGCCTACAACCATGTGAGATACTCCAAAGGAGATTCTTCAAATAGATATACTGACTCAGAAAGTGATCCACTAAATGGTTGAAGAAACCAGAATTAAGAGACATGTTTAAATGGCAAATCTTCATTTCAGAAAGTTAATATACTAAAATCAAGAACACTTTTACTTAATTCTTGTGTGTTTGGCTCAATATTGTCCTATTTCTTTGTGTTTACGAAGGACTTAAATAGTTGTAGTCTTTGCCATTTCTGATTTGCAAATTGTGCCCACTAATAATTGCAACTTCTACCGCCCTCGAAGTTATTAAAAGAGAACGAGACAAAAGAAAAACATGCAGTGGAACGCAGCACGGAGCCCCGGATAATACAGACTTTGTTTTCTTTCTGAGCAAACAATAAGTACATAAAAGTGAGGAGACACTGCAGCTCTTGTGCAGCAGCTGAGCCGTACCTTGGTTGTCGAGCGTGTTATGAGCCAGGTTCAGAGAGTGGATCACTGAGGCCGGGTTCTCTGACAGCGCAGACGCCATCTTCTGTGGAAAATCCCTGCGGGGAGAGCAGTTGAAAAGAACTCCTTAAGTGTGGGATATTCACTTTATGTATTATTTCAACCTTGAAGTGAATCCATTCTTTACGCTATAACACTCCAAAAGTAAATGTTCGGCAGATATGCAGGAGGCTTTTCAGGTCTGCATCTCAGTCTTACAACGGGAAAAGAAACAACAGAACACACAGTACAAGTGATGGAAAAGGAAATATGCTTACATTTCCTGACGAACAATAATGTTTATTGATCGGGGAATGACACAATGGCATATCATTAAACTGTTATACATCACAAAAGCTAATCTTTAGTATCTATGCAGGTGAAACAAAAAAAAGTAAATTTACTTAATAATTTATGTATTTCAACCATAGACTGTATATATTAACGGACGTAGGCATGCCTATGATGCCTAAAATTGGGCTCTCATGGAGTGATTCAAAATGGCCGCGGGGGCTGGAAAATGTGAAAATCACATCTGTGCATGCGTCAGCCGGCGAGAGCTCCATTCATTTGAACGAGAGACTTCAAAAACTCACAGCAAGTAAACTAGAGTGGTCCAAAAAAATCCACCCCCCTCAGCATTGGCACACATGTGGAACGGAGCTTTGGGCCAAGAGCCAACTTTTGGACCATCCTGTAAAGACGTTTTTGAGAGGTCTGCCAACGCTATATGTTAGCATTTGCTAATCTTCTTCTGGGTCCACCCCCATCGGCCCGGGGTGGTATTGCAAGCATGTCAGCGCACGTCATTTTGGCCACTTTTGAGCCGGGACCCGTCCCCACTGGTTTCAACTTGCATCGTGAAACTAAGATATGGCAAAATGAATGAGGGAAAAAAGGACATTTTTTAAAAATCTGAGTACCTCAGATCTTTTCCTATTTGTTTTTTCCCACATTATTTTCCCACAAATCCTCAAAGAGCACCTGATCTCACACATTTGTCCTACATTTTTTGATCCTGGTTTACACTCGTTCCTCTTGTAATTTAGTTAGTTAGTGATTTTTTCCAGACGCATTTTTTTAAACAGGGAAAACGTCCCTAAACCCTAAAAGTAGGCAAGTTATTAGGTGTTTTCAAATACTATTGGAATTGACCAGATGCCTATAGTCTCCAAATATTAAACAAAATATTTTTGAGATAAAAAATAAATCAATGGGATTCGTTCATCCCCAACGAACCAATGGGATGCGTCTACCCCCTTCACCCTCTTCCTGATTCTCACGAGTGTGCGCACCTGAGTTATCGGATTATCTAAAACATAAAAGGGCTGAACAGAAAATGCCAATTTCACATTTGCCATCCACTCTCCCTGTTAAGTAAGTAAGTAATCTTTATTTATATACCGCCTTTCACAGACCAGAGTCACAAAGCGGTTTACTTTTGTTATTTTTGGGCACTTGTCCTCTGCTGTGACAAGAAAAGAAATTGCTGGATGTTTGGTTTGGTGGAGAGGCGAGGGGAGTGGGGAGTGGTTTCCAGTTGGTGCTAAGGCTAAACTAACAAAACCGCTTACTGCATCTTTAAGATCTGCGCTCAAGCGTCACCTTATCCACACAAACTTGACTGTAGATCTATAGCGGCCATTACTCCCCAGAGAACAGTCTTGAACATGTCTTCAATCTTTTAGAACTATTTTTTTTAAATCCCTATGGAAATTTTTAATAAAGAATTTTACTTCCTGAAGCAAGAAGTTCCGTCCAGTGAATCAGATAGTACTGCAGGTTTATGTACAGTATTATTGTGAACTTAAGGGGCCACTCTTATAACTCTTACACTCATAACCCAGGGATGTGCCAAAATATGAAAATTGTGATGCAGTCATAGTTTGTCTCACGATTGGGAAAAATTAAGCTAAGTATTGAAATGTTAATAACCGGCAAGACCACCTAACTGGTCCTAAAATGAATTATTATAATGAATGGGAGTCAAAACATAATACTGAGATGTACTATTGCAAACTTTTCCGGTTATTAATACACATGTTTTACTTTGAAAACATCGACTGTGAGGACAAAATGTTCACTTTCTCAATGTGATTTTGACAAAAGGGGCAAAGGGGAAGAGAACATTTGTGAAAAGTCATAATGTCATGGATGTTGATTTTACTTGAGTTATGACTGCTGCCTTCATTTTACAGAAGTTCAATACTGGGCAGCTTTATTTCAGGCCCTGTAAGTTATATTCCAACAGTCATATGACATTTGTTCTCTTAACTTTTTGTGCCAAGCTTGTAAAAAAGCTATCATAAAAATTGCCCTCTCTATTGCAACTGATTTAAAACACGGGGGCCAGTCAGAACTCTGTAACTTCATTATTAGGCCGCTGCAAATCATCCCGTCCAGAGGCAGTCCATTTATCTCAATTAACCGCAGGAAAGGTAAGGACCCCGCTAACATATTCTGCCCATGCCTTATACGAGGTGAGAAATTGTGCCAAAGATGAAGCCACAGAACTCAATATCGTAACAGAGAGAGGAAACAATTGATCTGCTGCGGCAAAAAAGGAAGAAAGTTTAAGTGGTTTGAGCAGGTGAGATGAGGAGAGACAGGATCAAGAAAGGTCAGGACAGAGAGAATAAAAGGCGAGTTGAGGCTTGACACCGGAGTAGACACGGAGGAATAGATGGGAGAAACGGGAAAAAAGAAAATTTGATCGGACAAAGAGAATGGCAGGGTTATTACGGGGTTCATGGCCGTGTCAGAAAGGGGCAAAAACCTACGTCTTGAGGCCAGCGTTCTCCAGTGTGATCTCCTCCAGACAGTTGGATTTGCTGATTGTGTGGAGAACTTGATCCACAACCTCGGACCCCTGGGGGATAGAAATAACAAGTCAATGCTGTTCTAAAATAAATGTTTATCAATCCAATCCACTTTATTGATAAAGCACATTTTATAAAACACGTTTCCAAAGTACTGCACAGATACAAGTAACACATTATAATATACGTCATAAGTCTGCCAGCTTTAAATACAAAAAATTTTAATTAAATAAAAGCACTTAAAATAAAATGAAAACAATGAAAAAAAATGAAAAAAATTGAGATAAAAAAAAAAAAAATACAATCAAATTTTAAAAAATAAAATAAAATAAAACAAACTATTAAAATAGAATAAAAACAATTGAGATAAATAAAAATAAAATTAAAATGAAGTCAATTACAATAAAATAAAATAAAAACAATTACAATACAATAAAAAACAATCACCTAAATACATAAATAAACATAACATTGTAATATATGCTATAGTGGACCACACAACTGCCAATGTAATCAATCGGTGTAATACTTCAGTAATCTGCAATATGTTATCACAATCTGTCCACTGACTTGATGAGTCATTTTGTCTGCTATACATTCTGTCCATAAACTTAATGCTCTGAATACATAAACAGTTGCCGCCGTTACAGCAAGCAGTATTCAGAAACCCCTACAGCAGTCTGCAGATGACTTATTTAAGGCGTGTAAGCTCAGAGCTGCTTATAGATCTTATCTTCTGATGTGTGCTCTTTTTTTGCTTAATTTATATTGCAGAGTTCTCCTTGTATTCATACAAGGAAAACTCAATAATTTGCACTGTTAAATGTCTATTCTGTGCTTATATATATTTCAGATACATTAAGATTTTTCACTCTTTCTCACGTCCCGTATGTGGAAATAAAACAAGCAGAATATACCGATTAAAAACAAAATTGGATTGTAAGGGCTTATTCTTATCTCAACCTAAATGTATAGCTTTACATACATGTCTTGAAATTGATACATGTCGTAAAAACAAAAACAAAAAGAGTCCAGGCTTATTCCTTTACCTTCTCACACCTCTCTCCCCACCCTCATTATTCACCACATTGAGTTAATAAACATCTTTTCACAACTTTTGACTGCATTGTATTGTTTTGTTGATCGGTGCCACAATGTCAGCTGTTTTTTTATTCTTTTATATTCAGTGTATGTGTATTTTATATTACATTGTATCGTGCTTTTTATTCTGTCGGTGCACACAGAGTACCTTTTTTGCAAATGTATTCCAATGTAGTTTTTATACTGCACATGGCTGATAAAATGAATCTGAATCTGAATTGAGAGGCCTGTACGATTGTTGTGCGACATCACCCGGGACGTGAAACTATAACCACGTATGCTTCGTATTTCCCCCACGTTGTCCAGCCCTCGTCGCAGTCAGTTCAGGGTGTTTTCATATTTATCTCATTGGATCTAAGGTTGTCCTTTATAAATGCTGACAGTCGTGTGTTTCTGTTTGCTATAGCGAGCAATAATCATATTCAGAATTGATTTTCAGGAAAGGTCGGTCATCACTCAAATAATAAATCTGTTTTATACTGACGAATAATTTAGACGTTTGAGTCAAGCCGAACAAACTCAACGTTTTTTGCGCAACTGTGAGACAATTTGTACTTGTGCCCATGTTGAAGCAATCTTTATGGAATTAAAATATTTGATTGGCTGTTGTTACACCCACTATACCCACATTATTCAATCATTTCTATGCTTATATAATGGCTTATTTTGTTCCACGGCAGAAACTATTCAAACAACAATCATTTTTAGACAGAGGAGTGATTCTGGTAATCCTCCGGCTGAGATTTCACTTCCAATATTGTAACTTTAAGCCTGCCAAATGGCTGCAACACAAGCTGATTCAGTAACATAAATTCAGTTGGCACGGACGCTTTGCACCGAGAAATGTAAGGGAAGAAAAGTAAAAGGTTTGGAAAAGACACATCTGGTTGATACAAAGCGTACTTACTATTCGCATATCTTTGCACTGGAGCTTGGTGAACCAGGTGTTGTATGCAATGGATGCCACAATAACAGCCAAGTCTCTGCAATGTAAACACAAACACAGCAGATTAAACAAAAATCTCAAAACAACCTAACTCCATCTGCTCCAGAGCCATTCCATTTCATTCATCTCTAAAAATTCGCATTATTATGAGCCAGACTTTCTCTGCCTTGTGCTTTGTAAAGAGCAGTTTATCATCATGACAGTTGGAACAGTACGGGTCGAGCTGCGTTCATAAAAATGACTGATATGGGCAGTGTGGCTAAAGACGAGAAACAGCAGAAATGAGGAGGGCAAACATGAGGAGAGAAAGCCACTGCAAGATCGATATTCTGGTCAATGGATTATCGCTAAAGCATGTGTTTGAATCTGAGTTTTCTGTTACCCGGGCCAGACGCGCAGATGGCACAGTACAAGGGGGTTTATTAGCCAGAGAGTTTCAGAATCCTCTCCGGTCCAACTAAAGCTCCGCCGCTGCTACACCTGCCATCCATCATCAGACAAACAAGCCGCAACGCAGAGGGAATGTTGGAATGCTGTAGTAATTTATGAAAAGGTAAAATATCTGCTCCATCACCTGGCTACAGTGTTCTCCCCACAGTGGGACGAATACAAGTTTTCTTACATGAGCGTGTGTCTCATCAGAGTGCAAGGTTAATCACAATCAAACATCATTGATAATCTGCCTTATAGCCCCATACAGTCTATAAAGGTTTATTATATAACATAAGAGGGCCTTGGAGGTCTTCCACCCACCATAGCTTATTATCAAAAGAAATAGCATTAATAATCATGACTGTGATACTGAGCCTTAGAAATGAAATCTACTGCTTCTTGTGTGATGTTTTGCCGCGGTCTTTGTGGGGTCAGTAGATTCTGCCAGATCACAGATATAAAACCTGCTTCCCTAGTGACTGCTCTGAAACTGTATATACAGTGTGTGCAGATCACAAATTACAACGTATTTTTTATTTTTATGATGGCACAGGCGCTTACAGTCAACAGCCATAGTTTTCTGAAGTCATGCATGATGTACTACCTTTCACTTTTCAAGGAACAGCACAATGTATCATGCATCACCAACCACAGACACAACAAGGAACAAAATAAAAACGACCACCAACAGGAGACAGAACGGTTAAGATACAGAAAAAGAGATTAAAATGTGTTCCTCAAGTGAACCAGAATTGGTGTCCAGGTAAAGACCAACAATCTTAGTATCACAAGAACTCAGAACTACTCAAAGACCTACGCCCTCACGAGTCATTTAGCAATTGCGTTTGATGTTGTCAGCACACCACAAAAAAAAAACGCTAAAAAAGAACTATTATAATATTAGTACAAATGATGCATCGCTTTTTGGACACTAAAAAGATGCTTCACGTGTCATTACCTATTCCCTTTGTACACAGTGGTGATAAACTAGCCACAGCTGCCCTGGGACGGACTGACAGAAGCGTACACAACAACAGTTTGACACTTTAAAGCCGCACTTGCCCCTTTGTGACACCTGCTGTTTCAGAATATGCACATTTTCATTCTAAAACACGGAATGCAAATCTAATCTCAGTCACATCATGGGTCAGTCTGGATAGAAAGGATCTCTGTTTTCATATGTCATTCTCTAGCCTGTTGTGAGTTGGAGAATAGTAGAGAGATAATTAGTAAAATGTGGCCAAGGAGTGTCCAGTGCTGGTAACCATGGTAACCACGGTCACCAGCAGGGCATTACAGTAACTCTCAGAGGAGTAAAATGCCTCAGGTTGTTTCTCTTCCATTAGAGCCATCTGACAGCCTTGTGCAGCTGGGTCCCTGCGTGAGCCATATGTCACAATGCATCAGTCACAGGGGCTTTTGATACAGATTCTGACACAAGGACATGTAAGTGACCTTCATGACATCCTTTTGCCCTGAGTACAGTAAGTTCACATGAGGACAGTCCGCTGGTCCATACCATCCATTAATGGTCTCTGTGAGTTATGTTGTTTATTCAGAATTTCAGTTAGGGTTAGAGTTTAGAGATCAGAAACACATATATTCCATACAATTCAATAATTGTAATTGAACAGAAAACTATACAATTTGCCAACACAGATCAAAGATCTAAAACTCTAATATTAATTTGTTTGAAAATATGCACACTTATTTGCGATTGCATCTCAGACACAAAATGTGCTGTCTATGCCAGTGTTAGTGAGAAAATACGCAAACAACATTCAGGCAACTTCAGCTCCATCATCAGTAACATACCTCTTTTTAAACCGCCCTAGTCTAGTTGCTAAATGTTGCTTTATTTGGTAATAAACTGCATTCATCCATTTGCATCTTTGGATAGCTTACAATAAATTCAATCTTCTGTAAGGCCAACCAAAACGAGAATCTAGTTAAAACGACTGAATGATGGAAGACAGAATTGAAGACCTGATTCTTCAGAAGCCCATGGTCTTGAGGCCTGATATACTGTAATGCACATCAAATCCACAACACTATTTACAATAGATCTGCTTAAAGAAAGATACATGTATTTTTTTCCAAATATGCCCTATCTTTGATTAAAAAAAAGTGACTTATGTTCTATATTATACATACAATAGTGTAAGTATAGGATCATATCTACAACACAGATAACAGATCTATATATTCTTAATGCAAGACTGTATATAAAATGGAAGTCATCAAACTTCTCTGATGACTTTCTAGGGAACTTTATGGCCTTATTTGTCACATTTTATGCAAAGAATAGAGTTTACTTTTAACTTTATTATGAAGGAAACCAAAGAAACCAAATAAAATGATTCATCTTGTCTTTAGAAGTTGTTTTATGATTTCTAAAGACTGAGAGAAACTGAGTCATCCATGCAGGTCATCCCTGCACCACGTTAATGGTACATCTGATCAACTGCTTTGCATACGCAGTAAGCTAATGTCAGCACAAGAGTTCATACCAACTGAAAATATGAATTCAGACCTTTTCTTCAGCAAAACTGCATAATGTCATCTTCGCAAAAGAAAAATACTTTATAAACAGTAAAAAGCAGAAAGTCAATGTGGTGAAGAATACCAACAAAGTCATGAATTTTAAGGCATTTTAAAATATGCAAAACTTGTCTTTGTGCAAACTAATAAACAGCACAATAAAATCTAAGGGAACAGAGTGAAATCAGTCTGCAGTGGACACTTCCGCAGGTCTGCCAAAGCTGTCAGCACCAACCACTGTGAGAGCAAGTATGACTCAGAGACACAGGAACAGAATGTAAAAGAGGTGGAGAAAATGCATGAAGCAAACACTGGGAGGAGACGGAGAGGACGAGTGTAGCGGCCGGGAGCGCTCTACAGGAGTGGCCGAGACAGTGGCGTGATGGACAACGGTCAAAGTAAAAGCATAGTGTGTGTTTTCCAGGTGGTGACGGTGTTGGAGAGGTAAGGAAAAGTCAGGAAAGGGAAAGTTCACAATGATATTCTCTTCTGTAAACCAACAAACCTCTGCATCACTCGACCCTTTTAGATTGGGTAAAGTTCCAATGTAATATTTTCATTTTACATTACATCTATATCCTTATACGTGACCTCGGATATTTCAACATGTACAAATAATGTCTGACCTTTTCTGACAGTTTGAGTTCTTCTTCAACAAAACAATAGCACCGCACATGTTTCAATGAAAACAGTTACACAATTAAGAAGTAACACATAACACAGAAGCATTTATCCCAGTTACATCAGATTCAGATTCAGACTACTTTATTTATCCCACCAGGAGCAATTCATTTGAGCAGCACAATAAAAAAAATAAAAAAAAGAACATAAAATTAATAAACAACGTAAAAACACAAGAAATAAGCGACATGAAGTGGAGCCCCATTCAAAGATATGAACATAATACAACAACAAAACTCAAACATGTAAGTCCACCAAGCTACAGAGAGTTCAGCAGTCTACGGTTGGGACTAAAGATTCCAGATTTTAACAAAGACATGTGCTTTTTTTCTGCTGTACAATCCTCACTTCCATAATTATTTGTCCAAAATGCTTCTGAGTTGTAGCGTGTCACAAATGAAGACATAATCATCGTCTAACAAAGTATGTGCAGAACAGCAGGATGCAGAGATAACAAAAGAAGCAAGTGTCAAGTGCTCACCAGCTGGAACAGTGGGAATGAATGAATGATAACTTTATTAGTCCCACAGTGGGGACATTAAAGGGGAAGTGCAAATGTCATCATCCATTTAAAGCTGGAGGGCCCAACTTGTTTGTTTCCAATAGTTTTAGTTCCAATAGCCCAATAGTTTTTAAATACATAGATTTTCCAACAGAAAGTCTCAACCAGACCACATTCTGAGAGCTGGTTGGCAGAGGGCTGTCTTCTCTTTTACACTTGTCTTGGATGTGACATATGGGCGACACGGTGCCTGAGTGGATAGCACTCTCGCTTCTCAGCAAGAAGGTCCTGGGTTCGAATCCCAGTCAGAACAGGGCCTTTATGAGTGGAGTTTGCATTTATTTATTCATTGTTTATTTGGTTGGGACAGTACATGTTAATGAACACATCACTCCGGATTGTAGCCATGGGCTAATTTGCATCCGTTGTCCCACATTCACCCTCACAAACACACTCATTCACCCTGAACTATTGGACATGTTTTTAGTGGTAGGGTAGGGTGGTAGAGTACCCGGAGGAAGCCTATGCAGACACGGGGAGAACATGCAAACTCCACTCAGAAAGGCCCTGATCCGACCGGGATTTGAACCCAGAACCCTCTTGCTGAGAGGAGAGAGTGCTATCCACTCAGCCCCTATGTTCTCCCTGTGTCTGCGTAGGTTTCCTCCGGGTGCTCCGGTTTCCCCTACCACTAAAAACATGTACAATAGGTCTGAATTTAAATGAGAGAGTGAATGGGTGAACAGTGTGTTCGGTGACTCGCTTCCGTCATCACCGTGTGGAATAATTAGAACAATATCTGAACTCTGAACATTGTAAAGCGTTTTGGGTGACCTTGGTCTGTAAAATGCGCTATATAAATAAACATTACTTACAATAGGCTAAACTAGTAAGAGAACAGAACTGTTTTGAGAGAGTTTTAGAAGTTCCAAAGTTAAGTAGCCTGGCTTTAAGTGGGTAAATGAGAGCAGGAAATAATAGATAGATAGATACTGTAGATAGTTTATTGATCCCCGTAGGAGACTCTTATGCTGTCCAGCAGCATAAGAGGCTTTTTTGTTGTTGTACAGTCAGTCAGGTTTGTTGTACAGTCTGACAGCCGAAGGAACAAAGGACCTCTTGAAACGTTCCGTTCGGCAGCGTAGTGATAGGAGCCTGTCTGTTGCTTCGATTACTCCTCTGAGCGACCATAGTGTCATGCAGAGGGTGTCTGGAGTTAACAACACAGTTAAACGCAAGATGATAAATAGTCCAATTAGTAGTTATCTGAAAACAGTGAAACTACGGCTCCAGCTCTAAATCTCTGCTTTCAGTACTGGGTTGCTCTTCTTCGAAAGGAAAGCCATTCTTGAATCTCCAGCTCCATAAATAGCTCCACTTCTTCCTTCAGCTGGTTTCAGCATTTCCCTGCATTGTTTTAAAGGTGCCTTTGTTAAACCATTGCAGTCCATTTCTGTATCACTCTAAGCACCATCTTAGGGCTATTGTGAACCTAGTCTAAGTACAGAGCAGAGGATTTAAACCCAAAGACTCAGCAATATTCCCCATATACTTCATCCCAAACACAAATCCAAGTGTATAAGAAAAACAACAATGCAAAACAAAAAACACATTTCTGTATGAATATGTAAAATATATGCATGAGCTTCTGCGGCAAATCACGCCTCTACAAATGCCCTCTTGATTTTCCGACGTGGCAAAGCTCCACCGCAGTGATAAGACAGAGGTTTTTAAGAGGATATGCATCTTCTCCTCATCAGCATTGTTGTCGCACACAGCGGAACATGAGAAATTCCACATAAGCTAGGATTTTCTAAACTCATGACAATCTCCAAGACAACAAAAAAACTATTTGTCAGCTGTCGCATCACTTTTTTTTGTTCTTTTACGATCAACAGCGCAGAGTGAAACCAGATATCTGAATGTGTCATGAAAGAAATCAAGACTTTTTAAGAGATGCCAGCAGGGAGCGCGAGCGGGAAACATATGGTGCATTTTACAGCTGTATTCTGCTCACTGCTGTGATCATTGCTCATTGTTGCAAAATGCATCACAAGCTCATGACAAATATGAGACAAAGTTGAGTAGAAAGCTTTTTTCTTTTACTTCCAGAGACGAGCGCTGATGTTTGGCACTGTGGGGAGTCTGTCAGTTCCCGCAAAAAAAAGAAACCGATGCTCTACTCATATTTGACGTCACCCATCACAACTGAGACTTTTGACAGACAACTTGACAGCCGAGGTGCAAGACGTCACTAATTCCAGGTCACCCATCTCGTTCACAAACACACAGCTGAAGATCATGGGAAGCACAAATGTGAAACTTAGAACCACAGCAGCGGGGCACAAGCTAAAAATAAAATGCTCCAATAATATCATAAGGCAGTATTTTGAAGCGTTCTTGGCTCAGTGCACAATACGACTGCAACAAAACAATTGATTCATCTGAACTAATCCAAATTTCTAAATGCTTGTCAACTTGTTATTGAATTATTTAGCAATCAAGTTTTTTTTTTTCTTTTACCTTACTTGGCCCCAGAAGGTAATATTTTCACTTAAAAATAATGTACACATATTATTTTACTTTTTCTGAGCAAATGTTTTAGATAAAAAAATACAATGAGACCCTCATTTGGGTAGAAAGTGAGTTAGGTAATAACAACATTTGTAACAACATCAAAAATAGCACCACACGGGTTTAAATGAAAGCAGATACAAAAAACAGATTAAAACATTACTTGCTCCTCCCCAGCAGGTGGATTGCAGCTGTAATCAGTGCTTAGAAGCTACATGTGTCACAGGCAGGAAGGTTCTGGCAACAAAAGTTGGATTGTAATTGTATTGACTTCATTGCAACACTAAGTGCAGATTATATACACACTTTAAAACATGCTGAGAAGAGGTTTTTGGATGATATTTCTATAATGACAGTAGAAGTAGCTGAGATTAAAGAATATTTTTAACCAAACAACCCAATGTGTAAGAAGATCCTCCAGGGGCATCACTTGAGCTTTGTTTTGGTAAAATGTATAAAAACACCACTATTCAACTAATCAATTATGAAAATAATTCATAATTACAGCCCAAGTGTGCAATATCTTTTGCAAGAGCTCATGGATTTAACTGTTTTTTGTTGTTGTTTTTTATCTGCTTCAACTTGAGACTCAACTAAAAATGCATGTTAATAAGCCTGGAGTTATTCGACCTTTGGATAGCTTGAGGGCCTCAGGTGTAGTTACCTTTTGAATCTAAATCAGATGTGTGTCTTTGAGAATTTCCTTGGAATTTGGAAATTTAAATGTGTTTTTCTACCTTTGAGGAACTTTTAAGACACAACTAATCGCTCTCGGAGAGTGAGTTTAGCAGAGTTACCTGCTGTCGAGGTGACTGAAGTCCTGCAGGTTGAACTCTCTGTTGTCTTGAGAATGGTAGATGGTGTCAACATCCTGTAACGCCAAGTGAAAGCACAAGAGAAGAGTTATACATTTTATGAATTGGTTCTTTTTAAATGCAAGTTATCTGCAAGAAACATGTGCATTAGGATTAGTAGTGAAAGTAAAACTAGATGATAACAGCAGGACACATGTGTTTCGTGTTTGTGAATCACAGACACAGATATAGTTCTTATTCTATCATACTGCAGCGTGGCCCATAGTGTACTTTTGGAATTGATCCAAAATAATGTGAAAAGAAAATAATGTAGAAGATCAGAAAGAATTTTTGTTGCGATCTTTGAGCTCAAAAAGGTTGGGGAACACTGGCCTAGTGTAAGTGATGCATCTGTTTTGGAATTTGATGTCATGTAGCCGGCATACATAGATGTTTTGTTCTGATATCAGAGGATTTACTTACGTGGCAATAAAAATGATTCTGATTCTGATTCTGATTTGGTTAAGTTTCTGCCCTTTGCACAAAGGTACTGGTAACTGTAACTGTACAGAGGAGTGATCTAGAAATGAAGCAGTGCATCTTACTATATTGTATATTTGAGTGCATGTGTTAGTTTGGCAGGTGAATAATTACTTTTGCCCTTTAGTAACACAATTACCAATGCATCTACTTTGAAGTAATGTGACCAACACTGAGAAACAGAGGAATTGCCTTACCCACTGCACTTCTTCTTTGCAACTGATCCCGTTATAGTCGCAAAGTGCTGCATATGTCTCTGAAAAACCACCTATAAGATAAAATAAATAGTTTAAAAGTGCATGGGGGTATGTGACAGGAAGAAATTCATGCAAAAAGAAAGTCAGTCTGCAGTCAATATGGAGGTGAAGAAGGTATTGCATCATAAAGCAGCTCCTTTAGAAGCTTAATCAGGTTACACAGAGAAACTTTATGACTTCTGACCCAGAATGTAACAAGTCATGGGATAATAGTGTTAGTCAGAAAAGCCGGAACCTTTAGTACTATTGTAGAAACGTGTAGGTGTGTGCAAGAAGCTGGCAGCACATGACTCACCGCAGGTTTTCTGAGGGTCCAGCGACGATTCCGAATTTGGAGAACATTTCTGGTTTCCGTCAAGCAGCTCTTCCTCCGCTCGGCAAATAGGGGGACTGAAATGCAAAAGGAAGTTAATAGTCCAGTCGCTATTTGGTATTCTGGAAATACGCCAGCTCTTAGAAAGGCAGAGAATGCTTCATGATGCTTTTATAGAGTTTAATTCACAAGAGACCATAAAACATGCACAAGGGCACTGTAAAGGGTAAAGAAGAGGACTTTTCAACACAAGCGTATCTATGGAGTCGGATAACATGGAATAAACCGAACCAAACAGGTTTCAATTATTAACGATGGACTCTTTCATCTTACTGAAAAGTCCATTTGAACATAAACCAGACCAAACCACCAAATAATAACAATATGTCGGATCAACATGTTTTTCACGCTCAAAGAGGGTTTACAGGAACATTAGAATATCGTTCAAAAGTTAATTTCTGTATTTCAAATTAAAATGTAAACCAATTCATGATATAAACGTATTATATGCAAAGTGACATGCCAAGTCTTTTTTTTATATAATGTTGATGATTATGGCAGATAGTCTTAGTTTATTTTGGGTTTTTACAGCTGTCAGCCAATTATCAACATTATAACACATAAAGGCTTATATGTATCACATCTGGGGGGATAGTGGCTCAGTCGGTAGAGCACTGGCCTTTGAGCCTGAAGGTTGTGGGTTCGAGCCCACCACGAGATCAACTGCATGCCTCCCACTGATGACTGCTGTTGTTGTGTCCTTGGGCAAGACCCTTAACCCCACTTTGCCTGACTGGCACCCCCCAACCCAGAAAAGGATAAAGGGGAAGAAAATAAATATATATATTTATTTATTTTTCACCTTTATAGTGCATGAATCATTACTGTAGCCACAACTGCCCTGGGGCGTACTGCTATTGACCTCCTTTGACGGCTATCGGTCATTCACACACATGCCTGAACTTGGAATGTTGGACGTGCGGAGTATAAAACATGGATTGCAACATGAATGGTGAGAGGAGAGAATATTCATGGAGAATTCTCATGTTAAAAAAAAACGTGTGGGTGTTGAATAAAGTCACTTGATGTGTTTAATCTTAAAATAAAAATGTTCTTGTTCATGTGTTGCGACCATACTAGATGAAGGCTGCTTTGTTTTTATGATGGGATTACACAACTACATCCCATCCACGCTTCTTAATCTCATTCGACAACATCACAGGCATCACCTATCCAAACGGCTGACCCAAATCCACAACTTATCAACACCATCTTCATCTGGCCCTGCAGCAGCAGCAGCAGCAGCAGCAGCAGCAGTAGCAGCAGCAGCAGCAGTAGCAGCAGCAGCAGCAGCAGCAGCAGTAGCAGCAGCAGCAGCAGTAGCAGCAGCAGCAGCAGCAGCAGCAGCAGTAGCATTGTGTCATGCTATCAAGATGCTATCTGCAATATTGTAGTTCAATCATGCTGTTATATGAGGCCATGCAATCCGATGTCCTCTCACTGTTGGGCGATCCCTCCTTTTCTCCTTAAATGTTCTTTCTCAGAGCAATCATCTGCCCTGGCCCTAATGGAAGTGAGCCATTTGAAATATGATAGAGTGAGGAGATAGCCATGTCCCGGTCAATAGCTGGAGCACTCTCAAGCCTACAGCTCTTAGAAACTATACACGAGGCCAAGAGCAGAGAGACACTTTTATCCTGCAAATAGGTACATGACAAAGAGTAAAACAGGCTGGGCCTTGAATTGATATTTCTGAGCCTTTCAAGCAATAAAGCAAAGCATTAATAAATTACTATATCTAAGGATCTAATCACAACAAAATCAAATAGCTCAGAGACTATAGGGATGGACAATATATTGCAATGTAGGGAAATGCTTTCAACTCTAATGAAGCCACTGGCTTTTTCAGCTGTGATGTCTCCCATCACTGAGGATTAGAAATGACTCCTCACCTCTATTTAAATGTGATTCTCAGACCAGTCTCTGTCATCACTTAAACCTAATTATTACCTGAGTTTGCGGCTATTCTTTCTCAGAAACTGTATAATGAAGCATTTCTTTCTCCACCTCCAGCTCCACACTCTGCTTAAACAAGCTGCTTAAAAACTCCGACAAGATGCCTCCAGGTAAAAAACACCTACGCACTTTGTGTTGCAAGGCAGATTTAAATACACTAATGCACAGCATCCACATGAGATACAGGCTTTTTGGATGTGGCTCTTGCTGTGATCTCAGTATACATACAGAGTACTTGAATTGGCTGTGCTACTTACGCATAGATGGAGTTGTTGAAGACTCTGGAGAGGGCGTAGTTGATGTGGTTGACCATGTGATCCAGCTGCTCCTGCGCCTGCAGTCTCAAAGAGTAGGTGGTTTTGTCTGTGTCGATGACAACCTGATGAACGGACATTTTGTTACTTTACTTTGTAAATTAAGGTATTCAAGTAAAAGGCATTTGTTCTCACCTGGTATTCTGGGTATGTGTTCATTGCCCGGATTTCCAAGAAGTTGAAAGTGATCTCCAGCTATAAAAATCCAAAACAAATAGATTATTTATATTTTGCTGTGTAGAAGCCACTGCACTATTATGGAAACCATTGAACTGTACGTATTTACACGTATTAGATTTGAGTTGGAATTCAGAGCTAAAATGAGGGTAATTATTCCAACAGCATCTGCACCATAACAAACTGTTTGCACCCATTTAGCCTCTTTTCCCAACAGCCTCAATCATTGCTTGCATGATCCATCATCATTATCTCGCCACCCTTTCTTTCACAAGCTTCATTTTTCTGTCACAACACTTCTGGATTACCCTGAGATCAAGGCAGGAACCAAAAAAGTCATAAAACTGCCGGGAACATTTACCTTGGTGGGCACTTTGACAGCGAAGAGATACAGTCGCCATGTCGCCAGGACCTGCGGCAAAAGCACATTCATTTTAGTGTCAAAAAGCAGGAGATGCAAAATGCTAATTGGAACAACAGCACAAATACCTCAGAAGGAGAGCAAATCATCTCGTCATATTGATGCTAAAGCTCTGCGAGTCAAGCTAAGCATTCCACTCATAACAGTTAGCAGTTAAAGATGATAGCACATGAGTAGACAGCTGATGTGTTTACTGGTGGGTAATAGGGATATTTAGGGACGTATCCGATAACGTGGAAACATATACATCACTTAAAGCCAGGGTTGCTAACTTTGAATCAAAACAAAAAAACAATAAATATGTGATAAGAGTTACATAAGTGTTCATTTATTTCCTTCTGATGTTTGTTGTTGTTTTTTTCTATACATACTCTGTACTTGCATGTGTTTTCTTTGTGATTTGCACACTCTAAATAAAAATGTATTTGTTCATGCATGTAACTAGTTCCTCGCTCTCATCTGTCTGGTTCTATCACTAGTTTTCACATACATGTATTTTACAGATATTTTCGAATACTATGAACACAGCATCGTGCGATTTGATTTGTTCACAAAATTATATGCAACATCAACAAAAAGTTAGGTATTCCAGCTTTAATGCATGAATCCATTTACATTCCCGCTTTACATTAGGCCTAACTTTTTCATGGTTACTCTCCCGCTATTAATCTCCGCTGCCACATCGGCGACGTGCCCCCCGAGGATGAATGATCACATGCTTAGATTGTAAACTTGAACAAAACTCATCGAGAAACAAAAGCGCAACAATAAGGAAAGCGTATTGAACCCGGGCTGGAGAACAGTATCTATCTCGTTGTGCCTCTCCTATGCAATTAATCCCATTCATTATTCACTAAGTTGCAATTAGCATACCGGCTACATACAGTGCATCTGTTCACCTTCTATATAGCTTTTGTCTAGATGTTGGACACACTCTCCCGATTGCTCCTTCTCCGCCCTCCCTCTTACACATCCCTGTATTGTCCATAATTCTTCCCAGCTTCTCCATCATTCCAGATACCCTCCTTTCATCTCCATGGAAATCTGCTCATTTTGCTCCATCTTCTACCCCTAATCCTCCAATCTCTCGCATCAGGCCCGGCGCGCCACGTCGGGCCCTGCTTTTTGGGTAACACCTCGCACCGACACTGCTGCCCATGCACCCTCCTCTTCCTCGCAACTCCCCTGTCTCCTTTCCCATTGCAGTTTTTTCTATTCTTTTTCTGCTCTGTCGCTTTCAATTCCTCAAGGTCTCTCCGCGCTGAATGGCTAATGGCGCCCCGCTGAGTGGCAGTGAGGGGAAGAAAGGAGACCAAATACACAAAGAAGACGGATGGTGATGGAGAGAAGGAGACAGGAAAGGCAAGGACAGCAAAGATTTCCCTCCTGATAATAAAGTCTTCAGATTCCTTTACGCCACGGGACTGATGGCGAGCAGAGTTGACCGAGCGCACGTCCTGGAGTTCCTTAACAAACCAAAAAAGGACCATAGACGTGCAATAACACATCGCACAGACGCACTGAACCGCTGAGAGCTTGTGAACAGGGATTAGGGATTAAATTAGGAATGTTATGTCACTGGTAATTGAATTGAATGTATATTTGATCAGGGACTAGGCACAATGGATTTTTTCTAGTTTGAAATATACAGTCGTGTTTGAAGTTTACACCCCCAAGGCAGACGGACTCAGATATTTCTGAAATTACAAATGATAACCCAAAGCCTTTTTTCTCACTCATTGCTAGTAAGAAGCACTTCATTTTATTTCTATTCATATTGTTTGTGGTAGCGGCGGATGAGGTTCTTTATCTTCTTTGATAGTGAAGCTGCCCATTCTTCTTGCCTAAAAAAAAGGCTCCAGCTCTAGCACATTCCTGGTTTTCTCCCTGGATCTATTATGTAATGAATTAAAAATAGAAAACACAAATTTGACACTAAATGGCTTCACACAACTACTGAAAAAATTAGAGGGGGAAAAACTGTTTTTGTGTTATCCTTCATGATGTGATGTGGACAAACAATGGAATCTAGGACTGTGTGTGCACAATTTCAAGCACAGCTGTACACGACACAAGACAAAACATTATATAGAGAGGTCAGGGAAAGGTGCAAAGAATAGTGAGAATTTTCTAATTGGGTTTTTTATGATGAAAGAGATATAACTCCTTTCATAGTTGTGTGAGATCTAACAAAAAGGACATTTATGGACATTGGTCATTATGGACTATACCCTTTTTTGTTCCATTTCTTGTGTTTGAACAGTTTTATTCTCTGATCCGTGTTATCAAATTCAACGGTTGTGTAAAATACTCCAAAGACAACTACTGTTGTGATACAAGAATCATTGAAAACATTTTGTGACATCATACATCTAACCATGAATAGAAATTAGAATAGAAACAAAGGTAAGTTGAGATTTATCCACTCATCTTCTAAGTCAGCTTTGAACAAAAATCAGGAATTTCTTCATGGATTTTTTAGAACAACAGATTATTCACTACCTCAAAATATGTAGTCCAAGTTCTAGTGTATATTGTTTAGTCAATGTTGTGAGGATACAGGAATACTTTGTGCTTTAAAGCATCCTTCAACTATGAGCAATGTGGACTGAGTTTTAAGTTGCAGGAATAAACTCAGTTATTGCATGATTGAAAAAGACGGCACGGCTTTGGATGATTGTTGCAAGTCAAATCCAGTGTTAAATCTTGTATTATAGAGAGTCAGCCATGTTGAGCTGGGGTTGAAAAAGGGAGAGAAGAACACAAATCTGTTCTTTTGTAACAAGTCTGGAGATCTCTTTATGTGAAAAACACATCAATAATGCAAAGTTTCTCTTTGTTTGATCTTCGGCTTGAGGCATTAGGTTTCCACTAATTCAAATTATAATCTACAGTCTATTGCAAGATCATTAGAGGCCATCAATAACTCATGCCATAATCTAATTCTAAGTTCTGCATGTTGATAAAGAATGGAAAAACAACTCTCTGCCAAATTGCAAACATTTTATCACAAATAAATCTCAAAGAAAGACATGATTTGCTCATATCTGTTGTAAGTTGGATTTTGGAATGGGGTAAGGAGAGACTTTTGGAACAATTAGAATGACGCCATGTATGTTAAATGATGCTATCAACACTGTGGTAATAAGTCATGCGTGGATTACAAATCTGTCGCGCTTCAATGCATCGAGCTGGAAAAGCTGAGGATAGTATTCACATCATAACCTTGACAAAAGAACCTATAGAACATTGTACCACTGTGCAATGCAACACAATAAACACAAGCAGTCACAGATGGCACACAACAGAAATGCGAAGCAGACCAAGTTAACCTGTATTAGCAAGAATAATGCTCTCTGGGTTTTTGTTTTATCACTGGTGTATTAACCGTGTGTCCCAAGAAGAAAGAGACTATTAACAACAGCCTGATGTGAAGATTTAATGAAAAAATATGGCCGTGCAGCATCCAAAGAACAGTAATTTCAAGCAGATATAGTACATCAACTAACAACTAGCGACAACTGTGCTAGATACAAACTAATTGCAATAGACAATTTTCATGGCAGTGGATCAATTTGAAGCTGCGAATAGTGGCCATGGTTCTTTCTGTGTTCTCTGTCTTTTTTTTCCTTTCTACAGAGTGTGTGTTGCTTACAGTGGTCAGACAGAGGAGCAGGACATGAGGCGGGGAAGAGGAGGTGCCTTTGCTTCTTCTGATGGCACAGAGTCAAAGACATGAGATCAAAGCCTGGTGCATGTGCAGACCTGCATGGGCAACACTGCTGGCTATTCTCTGCACTACCAGGGACACGCAACAAACACACACTTTGCTATGTGCTCGTGTGAGAGCAGAGGGCAACAACTTATATAAATCCTAATCTGTCAGGCGGCGAGCACACTTCAAACTAGATCCCAAAAAAAATGAGGGCGCTCAAATTGGCATCATAGATTTTAAAAATAGAAACAAGGAGTGGTGTGAATCGCTGTCCGGCGAATTGCAAATTGCTTTTATTTCACGATTAATTGGGTGTTTGGTTAAGACATGATTAGACATAAAGCTGGGTTACCTAACTTTTAAATGTGTAAGTAACGTATGTTGTCAAGTCAAGTCGAATGTTGACTTTATTATCATTAATTAACATTTACGGACATTGGTCATCTGCCCCTTATGGACAAACAGCTATATGTGTTTTGTTTTTGTTTTTATATCGCATTTCCCGTGTTTGATTCTCTGGTCTATGTTGGCAAATTGACAACTTTGTAAAGTCCTCCAAGACAATTACTGTTGATTAATAAATTAATTGTGATTTGGGGCTATATACACACATACATTGAATAGAATTGAACTATCAGACTGTCTCTGTCTAATTAGAAAACATGGCATCTTTTACAAACATGCGTGAGGAAAACAAGAGCCCTGAGAGTCACTATTCGATTCTTTTTCATTCTTCTATCTGAAAAAGCTGATCTACAGACGTGACAATGCAAAAAACTAGTGATAGCGCCCAACTGTTTTTAGAAAAGAGAGCTATGATTACAGTTTGAAAGTTAGGAATCTCTCATTGCTCATGTAAAAAAAAAAGCATTTATTCCCTTTAAAACAAAAATAATGCATGCGTGCTATAACTGTAATCGTTTATAACTATAGTGCCGCTTTGAATAGACAGAAATGAAATGTTTTGAGCCAACAACAGCTGTAGCTATTTTTGCATTTGCATAGACACAACCTGGATATCGACCAAACGGCACTTATCCGTGAAATGTATCAAGATCAACGAAGTATCCCGTAGCAATGCTGGTGTCTGGTTATAGATCAAAGATTATTCATTTGAATTTACATATTACAGGATGTGTTCCTGAAAATAACAACTGATCTTCAACTCCACAACACGTAACCCAATTACCGGACCTTGGTTCTCAGTAGCAAGGGAGATTTTCGTTTGGGTATTTTCATATCTGAGTAAAGTCCCAAAAATTGGACAGGAGACTAA